TTCTCTGCTATGTGAATGGCAAACACTACACATTCTTCAGCTACACAAACAGTTCAAACCTCCCTCAGCCACAGGTGCTTACTTGTCTTCTCTGCTCTCAATCGACCATGTCTGTTTTACTCATCTCTTTTGACTCAAATACTGTTTTCACTCATCACCTTTACCTCTGTTTTGTGTTACCAGGCCTCCTTTGCGTTTCTGCCCTCTCTTAATTTATACTTCACTGCATCATCAACACGACTTCTAATCGACCTTCTGCCAATGTGGTTGTTGCTGCTGTCAATGCAGTTTTGACGAGGCCTGGAAATAAATTACCAGCTCTAAAACAATGCTAAAATATACTCCTGGCAGTAGAACAGATGTGGCTTGGAAGCATGGCATATGTCAAGGAAATCCAAGGAAAATTCGATGCAAATACTGTGACAGGTCTTACAGAAGGGATTTATCATTTGAAGCACCACTTAACGAGAACTCAAGGATGTAGGTGCTTGCAAAAGTATGACTAAAGAAGTGCATAAAGAGATGTTTGAAATTGTTGTGGATCATCAACAAAGATTAATGAGCAAGACAAGCTTTGATATGGGGAGATGATATAAAAACAAAAAAGAGAAAAAGGATTGAAGAGGAGGATATTGGTAGCACTAGAAATATTTTCAAGCAGGGAATCAGCTCATCTGCCACAATTAACCAATTATTTAAGAAGAAACTAACTGTAAAGATGCTGCAAGGTTTTTCTATGAAAATGCAATGCCTTCCAGTAGGATCTTCCAATCCGTTTTATTATTTCACCGTTTACAATCTGCTGAGTCTCTACTAATCCATAGCATAATGTCAATTTTGGACAGAACTTATTTTTCATGTTTTATTGAGGTATATTACATGGACACAATTAAGTGGTAGGCACAACTGTCAATCTCCTTTTGGAAGGCATGTGAGCTACAGTTACATGATTAGCCTTCCAAAAAATATATTATACTTGGTCTATTACTTTATTACAAGTTTTCTGCATCACTCAGCACTGCCAATGAATAAGGAAAAATAAATATGCAAAAATAGAAAAAATTATGACCACAAAAAACGAAAAAGATTAGAACCTGAAGAGGTGAGGCATTCGCTGTGCAAGCAATCCAATTGACTGAAAAGCATAAGTTTTGACCTCCCGAGCACTGGCATCTGAATTAATACTTAAAATTGAATGCAAAATAAACTAAATTTTACTCAAATAATATTAAAAAGAACTATCGAGTCTTAAGCAAACCTGCTTCTGAACTTGGATAATTGTCAAGGGATTTCATAATGCCACTCAAAATAACAGGACCCATTAACTTAAGCTGATCAATTTTTGCCTGCACTTCAACTTACAGATATTAGAGGTGCTGAGGAAACATTAAGTTATACTGCTTCAGTTATGAACAAAAAATCATAGTGAATACAACCACTTTCCAAATCTAATGATAGAAATAGAACCCACCATAGTAAAATTCATTTCAAACTGCAATTTCATTGCAAATTTCGTGCAGTATCTTCAACTGAACCATTTCTAAAAAAATATCTTAGTAGGCATTTAAAATCATTTAAACTGAACTATTTTTAGAGAAAAGAAAAACACTTCAAAATGATATTACTGTCCATGTGTTGTGTCAGAAACATATTTGTATAACTTTTTTCTTTTATATTTTTAAACTTTCATATCAATAAAGATGACAAAATCTTGGTAACTAGATCAATTTAAGCCTTTACTCGTACCTACAATGACTTTTACAGTTAAGCATGCTCATTTTTAAAAGATCCATTTTCTTTCTTGATATAAGATTTGGGTTGTTCAATGTCAATTTTGCATTAATTTTATACTTTGCATTATTATAATCATAGCATATTAAATTTAAAATCTGTCACCTGTGCTAGCGTCATATCATATGCAAGTCCCATGTTATATCCATACTTTCTAGTTTCTAAACATTTACAAGGCAAAGAGACTTTCATTCTAAGGGTAAACTTTATGACAAAAATCAAAAGCCAAGTAATATTGTGCTTACATGCTTAAATACCCACACAGTAAATTCCATCCCCAATTGCTTCAACCTTGATGTGGTACCATTCCCTATTAAATTCATAAATATAACATAACAAAGATAAACAATAAAAAAAGAAATTAAAAAAAAAACGGTAGATAAAAACAATCGACAGACAACCCAATTATTGATCCACACATGTTTGTCTCTCATATTTTGATGATGAATTCTGTTTAGAACAAAAAAGGAAAGTTGGAATTTTATACCATAAAAGAGGAGAAACTTCGTTAGTATGAAAGAAGCATTATTTGTAACAAAATAAGCTGTCCATTTGCTATTAAAATTTACCAAGGAATATTATAATGTTTAAAATAGGTAAAAAGTTATAATCCATTTTCCCCCCAGTGTTCATTCCATTATTTAGTTAAGGGTATACTATTGTTGAAGATAAGAGAAAGTGGGGGCTTCATAAGCATCATTCATGTTTGCACAGTATCATTGAATATATTGTTTGATCAAAGAAAAAATAATATCACAAAAGAAATATTATTTCGACACTTTTATTTCCACCCTTAAGGATTTGACCATTCACATTTCTATATGCTCTCCTTTCTGGTAAAAGAATCTATTTCCACAACGTAACAAAAAAAAACAAAAAACAAAAAACAAACAACCTATATAGAAAAGTAATAGAAGCTCAAAGATCATATACACAATAATCATATAAAAAATATATTAAGCCATGAAGCTGTTAATACTAGTGCACAAGTACCATTACTAAAGTGCATATGTCATGAATGATAAAATCTCAATTACATTGGCCAATTCTTAAGCAACCAACTTTGCAACAAAATGGGTTATAAGTTATGAAAATGACAAAAAAATATAAGTAGCAAATATAAGCTCAAAATCATTAAATAATTTATACTACCATAAATGCAACCAAAAATGCACTGCAAGGTGGATGGGAAATTGTTTGCTGCTGCAATAGACCTGCAGAATATAGACATTAATTTTGCCTTTAAAGCAGGACTCCCAGGACTAACTCTTGATTCTGGATCAACATGTTCAACTCCAACAGAACCTACATTCAACATCAATAATGTATAAATGTTGAAGAGCAAACAAAAAGATATATATAAATTCCAAACTGGGCTTTAGATATAAAAAGGCAGAAAACTGAATTCAATACAAGAGTTAACTATCAAAATAGAAAATGAAATCAAGCAAATGCCAAACAATAAATGTCTAGAATTGCTACCGAAGTCATATAAACACCATGATAGGCTATGATCTGGAAGAAGAAAACCACTAATACTAGTGGTTTTGGATAGACCACTTATATCATCAAGAATTTCTATTTTTGGAGTAAATTAAGAAAATAGGAAACAAATCTAGTGGTTTCAGATTGACTTCTTCACATACAAAAAGAACCAGTATATTATTTATTGATAATTTTATATTTAAATTATACTATAAAATTAATTCTTGTTATTTATTTTAATAAAAATTGTCTTGGTATAGTGATGATGTTGTTCTAACAAAGCCAAGGAATTGGGTTCGATCCTCAATCTGACCCAAAATTTTTCTACTTTCCCTTTTCTCATCAATGTCACGCACAGCTAGCATCAGTAGATGTGTGGCAGCAGCTTGAATGAAATGCACAATAGAAACCAGACTGAAGTGCAGCAGAGAATATTCAAGGGTGTGTAACACAGTTTAAAAGCTCACTGGTTCACCAGTTCTAACCTGGTTCAGAGACTGGATTGATGATGTTACCCCAGGTTAAATGCCTTCCCAATCTAGATAGAAAAGATCAAATTGGTTAAGGGTTAAGTTCCCAGGTTAACCAATCAGGCTGGTCCGACTTTAATAACACACTGAAGTATATGTTAAAGACCAACTCTCCTATAAGATTAAGCTGTTAGGTGGACAACTAAGAATGGTCTTATATATATTACACCTTCATGCAAGAGCATAAACAATACATAGGCAATTAGCCTGTGTTGAAATTGCACTTAATTATGAAAAATGGGTGCAGCAAGTAATAAAGCAATCACAACAGCGCACACAGTTCAAGCATGAATGATGAGCACAAAAAGGTTTACCGGAAGAACATGACATTAATTAATTGAAATGTGAAAAAATAATAGGAAATTAGTACCAACCTCATTAGAATCAATTATACTCTCAAGCAGACTCAAATTTAAAAATTCAGGTGAAACTTACAAATATTTCCATATGCTTGTGAATAAATTGAAGAAAAAATAATTGACAAAAATATATTTCAGTGTATGTCAACAAAATCTTTATGAGCATACCATTGAATAGCAAAAATAATCTGTTGAGCAGATTTAAATCATCTAAATTAACACCGTTGGCCTTCTTCTTTAGAAGCTCCTCTCCTCTCTTAATAACCGGCTCTTCACTTGAGTTAATTGATCAAAAAATACATGTGATCATCCACAAATGAAACACCAAAAGATATAAAGTCAGTAAGTTATAAGAAAGTTTTATAACTAAATTTTGAGTAACATGGGAACTACAACATACCAATCTACAGAGGCAGCAATATATAAAGGATAAATAAGCTCAGGAGCAAGCTCCATAGCTTGAATGACATTCAAAATACCCAACTGCATCAACAAAGACCAAGATAAGATGGATTGCAGTAGCTTTCTAAGTAAATGAAAGATTGGACATGCTTGTATGCGTTCAAATATCTGACATGTTAACAAAATAAATTTTGGAGAGGTCATATATGTCAGAATAATATCTATAGTTGTTATAGTTGCAGTAGTTAATGGTTGATTATCAAACCAACTCTACTAGCCTAGCATGTCAGTTACAAAAGTTAGCTCCAGCAGTCACTTGTTAGATTACAACTTTCTATCATGACTTGCATATAAATATCATATAACCAATACGGTCAGAACTGCACAATAATATAAGTTCAGTTCTGATTCTCTTTAATTCTCTCTGAATATTTTCTTTCTCTTCCTGCATTTCGTATCAATCTTAAAATTCTATGGTTAAAAAATTATCATATCATATTGAGTGATGAATTCTTCAATTACGTTTCTTTTGACAAGAGAATAAATGTGATGGATAAGAGATAGTAGTACAGTAACTTATCAGTTTTCAGAATTAAAGTAACAACATCAACAACATATGCTACGTGACCTTTGCATGGCAAGATAATATTAAAACCATTACATGATTTCGTACCTTTATAGGTAAAATTTCATTACTTAGCAACTGTTGTTTCCCCATAACACGATTGACTTGAGTTTCTGAAAGCCCAGGAGGGACTCCACCACTGAAACAGAACAAAATCTATAGAGTTAAGTCTAACAATTTTTATGAAAATAAAACTGAGTTTTCACTTTTCTATTCTTAGATTCAGATTTTGAGTATTATGGTTCTTATGTAAACATTATTTTACTTTGTTCAACTAACTTCTAACTTACTGGCAGTTACAGCAATTACCAACTAACATACTAAGAGATAACCTGAGTTAGGACCATTTTAGTTTACAATTTACAAGGAACAGAAACTAGTAAAGGAACATGCACATAAAAAGAGGCATGTATTATATACTCTACCAAACTGCCCTTTGATTGAAATAGGATGAAACAAACTAATTCATGTTAGAACAAAATTCAAATACCATAAGCTCCTTTTAGCATAAATCCAGTTCCATACCTTTGGGAGACCCGCTGGTACAATATTGTATGAAGACAAAACTCAATAAACAGTCCCCTATCTTGAGAGTTGTTCACCTTTTTATACTTTGCAGCAATTTCCTCACCAATTTGACCAGAGTGGCATTCACCAATTACCTAAAACGAAGCAGAAATCCATTCATAGTCATATCCCAAAAATGTATAACTGAGGATGACCTTGCTATTCTATAGGATAGTAAAAAGAAAAAGAAAAAAGCAACTAAGACATAATAATGAAAATAGACCAAGAAATTTCCTTTTAAAAAAGAACGCTGGATAAAAGCCCATGGATCCAAGAAATCCAAGTGCTCTAATGTTAGTAGTGGACCCTTCTTCCCACCAAAAATCCATTTATTTGAATGCCCAAGCAAAAAAGCTTAAAATTTCCATCTATTTTTCCTTATATATCCTTCCCAATTTCCTCAAAAGAAATATCTGCAAAACTGAAGCCTGTCAAGGATAGAATAAGGGGACAAAGGGTTTCAATGACTTAAAAATTAGAATCACACAAACTCAAAAACTGTGTACCAATGCTGAAAAAAACATTAATGAAAAAGTCTTCCACAGCTGTAATTATAAGATATAACCATGACCATTAAGGTTTGGTCAAAGTCCAATAGTGTATGTTGATACCTTAACAACGATTCTAAGGATAATTTCCTGGTGTTGAAGTGAAAGTTTTGAGATGTTCACCAAGAGATCAGGAGCCAGATCTTCCTTTTCCTATTGAAATGCATTGAGCATTAGATAGTCTCTACAATAAGCATTCAATAGCAGAAAAAAAACATTTAAAGGAGTGCCAAACCAATCAATTTGTCTGTTTATCCATTAATTAAACAATATTCAATTTTGAAACTTTAACCAGATAAAGCCACAACAAAAATAACAAACAGGCACTAAGATATAAATAACAAGAGACCTTTGCATTTACACGCTGAAAAGCCATCTCTATATACACAATGCAAAAATTCCTTATGATAGGGACAGCACCAGAATCGAAATACAACTTCCACAGGTCCGACAAAGGTAAACCAATTTGAGGCTGGAGCTTAACTCTCTTGTTGACGTGACTCAAAATCTCAAGCACCTGTCAAAAACACAAGTCAACCATTGTGAAACATTTGCCAAATCAGTTCACAAAATTACATCGACGAAATAGACCATGCAAGACTGATATAGATGTATACAAACAATAGCGTAAAATGCGATCTCACTATGTCAAAGCAAAATGTACTCATAGTAAACGAGCAATAGAATTCTACCGATTCGTACAGCAGAGAAGAGATATTTCACCCAGTCGATAATGTATGCATAGCCAAAACACAATATATTTCGTAAGTTTACATCAAAGAGTACAAAAATAGACCGTGAAGTACGATGTTCGTGTAAGCAAACTCTTCGCTATCCTTAAAAAAGCCATTCACTCATAATATGCCCAACCAAAACACACTTCGTTAACAGTAATCATTTACATCAGTTAACGCAGCTCTAGCAATAACAGAGAAGACACAGTTCAATTTTCATCCAGACAACGACGTTTGCAGAGTCAAAACGCAATCTATTTCCGCAGATACAAAGAGCGATGTGCATGTACGCAAATTCTTCGTTATTCTAAGAAGTGCAATACAATCTTACAACGCCAGAGCAAACCTACTGTCACTAAACAGCAATAAGTTCATGTCCTAACACTCATAGCAATTGCAACAACAGAGAAAATATGTTTCAAGTTTCAATTTACGCGTTCCTAGTTTGATTTGGAAATAGCGGAATTGAAATTAGGCGGTGGAGAACCTTATTGCGAACGGCGAGGGATTGCGAGGAGAGGGAGGAGATGCAGAGAGGGAGAAGCTTCGCGAGCAATGGTTCAAGCTTGGAATCATCGCACAGAGCCAAGCGAGTCAGCATCCGATCCAGCATTTCTTCTACCTCCGCGTCGGACTTCGCTGACAACAACGACGCTGATGATGACTCCGCCATTTCTTTCCCTCTTTCGTCGATTCGTTTCTTCACCAACAAACTCAAACTCTTCTTTGTGCGCCAGGCAAGTTAATAAATATGAATTAGGAAATAACGCTGCTTGCGCTCTACGACTGCCTTGGACTCTTTGCTTCGTTCTGTTCTGGTCTCGTTTCTCTACCTTCAACTCACGCTTAGGCCCAATTGTGTAGAGAATTTGCAACTTATTTCCCCTTTCAAAGTTTAAGGTTTAATATGTTTTCAGTGACTAAAATTTAAAATAAATATTTATCTTACATTAAAAGATTATTTTAATCTTTAAAAATTAATAAAGTATAGTTATAGACTTTAAATACTAAATTTGAAAAATTAAAAATAAATTTAAAAACATAATTTTAGTTTTTAAAAATTTATTAAAGAATTAAAATATTTAAAAATAAAAAAATTACCCTAAATTTTAAGGACTAATAACATTTTAATATAAAATCTTATCACACACTTAATCTTTTTATTCGTGATGATATATTATTCAAATACTAGTAAACAAGACTGAAGCGTTTATTAAAGATTATTATTAATATTTGATATATACAATGAATGGATAAATAATATTTTTATTATTAATAATATGGTATTTCATGTTATAATTAAATGATATGTTAACAATTAATTAAAGTTGATTAATTTTCAAAAAAAAAGTAAACATTTGTAAAACTATGAAGATAAAAACGAATTTAATCTTTAAAAAAAAATTATTCTGAAAATACTACCTTATAGATCTAGCAATTTCATGTGTTATTGGATTTGGGAGTTTGTTTATAAGAAAATAATCGTAATATTATTCACTTAATATGTATTCTTATGAAAAAAGTTATATTCCGTAGAAAAATGGAAATCAATTTTTAAATTTTATATATAGTTCTTATATTAATTCAGATACTTTATTTTAATTATTTAAAATATAAAATATTTATACAAATGTTAAAATTAAACTAAAGTCGTTTTTTTTTCTTAAAATGTGATTTCTGCAAAATATAGTATCATACCTTAAAATATGAGTATCCTTGATAGTGAAAGAAAATAAATATTTAATTGTTAAATACGATATATATATCATTGTCATAAATTTTTACTTTGTTATATGCTTAACTGTAAATAAGTCAAATCCGAATACCAAATTAAATAAAAAAAAAGCAATAACGGAGTAAATTGTGTACATAAATAATATTTAAAATAATGGTAGAGAAAATAATAAGAATATAATACTAAACTAACAACAAATAAAAAATTTAAAAAAACTATAAATTGAATATATTTAACAACATAAGTATTCATGTTGGTAACAAATTATTACTTATTAAGGATAAAGAGACACCTCGTGTCTCTTTACATTTTAAAAATAATAAAAAATATCAAATAATAGCAGTGAGTATTTTTTTTAAAATACACCTAGAAGTATAAGTAGTTTAAAAGAATATAATTATAAAATAAAAATGAAAATTTATGAAAGAAGTTATAAATAAAAAATAGCACACAAAAATGTGTATAAAGAAAGCCCCATATTTTTAATAATGACAGGTTTTTAGTTTATAAATAATATGGTATATCCTACCTCACAATCCAATCTTACTTACACCCAATGAAAAAAATAGACAAAATAATAGCGTATACCTATGATTAAAAAATAACAGTATAAAATAAATATTGACTCCTTAAAAAAAGAAAAGAAGGGGCCCTAATAGCACAATGTGAAGTTGTGCATACTTTGAGATTGAAACAGAGCTAGAGTCTTGTTTGTCACTTGCTTTGTCATCTTCATTTTGTTCTTCTTTGGGATGGTTGAAATTGGAAGGGACAATAGTATCTGGTGCTGAATCATCATCTCCAGCAACAGCACTAGCAGGAGATGGGGCATCTTCTGGGCTTTTGAGACTTTTGGGCAACCCTTGTCCATAGGTCACATTTATTTTGAAATGTTGTCCACTCCTGCACTGATCACCATCATAATCACCAGAAAAGAAGTATGTCATGCCCTCCTTCATCAAAGGAACTGCCACTGTCACAGGACGTGTTTGGGTGTTGGATGGATCAGATGCTGACCATTGGATTGTGTCTTTGTCTTGTGCATCATCATAATCACATTCTTTGTATGTGGTAAAATTGTATGTCTCAACCACAGAGTGGTTAGTATCTGTGTTGAAAACTGCAAGAACAATACCCACAAGTCAAAAGCGTTTAGTTGTTAGGTAAGATTATTTAACCTCATAATGAAGTATGGTAGAGAAAATTCCATGATAAATAATATATGAAAGGATAGAATAAAGTGCTTTTGCAATGTTAATCAATCACAACTATGATAATTTTTCTCCCTTTAATCATATTTAACATGATGTTTTGCTTGATTAAGAATGTAAAACTTGTTACTACATAAGTGCATAGAATTCAAAAAGATTATGAATTGAAAATTAATAGTCGGCAGCAGTTAAAATTGGCATGGTCTGTTGTTGAAAGAAGAACCTACTTTTCTGCCCAACTGGTTGTTGTGGAAATGACTTACTATATGTGTTTGGCACAATTCGATCCTTCTTTTTCTTAATTTATTTTTTATAACACGTATGGCTCTGTTAAATAATACCTTAATCAGAGCCAATTGCAAGTGTATCGTTATTAAAATGTTTAAACAAAAGAAATATTAATCAAGTAAGAGTATGAAAAAGAGAATGTTAGTAGCAGAAGAAAAGAATAATAAAAAGTACTTATTAACTAGTCATTTTTGGTATCGGATTTTCCTTTTTCCCCATTTACCCCAAAAGATCCAAATGGTAAATAACAGTAATATTCGTTGTTAGCTATTTCGGCAAATTGACGAGTGAATGAATACTTGAGTTGTGACTAACGGCTGTGGATCGTGACAAACTCCATAAAAATACTACAAGAGTGGTTCGTGCCTTTCTCTTTGTGCTTCCAAAATTTAAGCCTAACTTTACTAAATATTATATGACACAACGTACCAAAAAAACAGCTTCTATGCTGCAAAGGAAACACACAATAATTGAAGCCAATCTAACTTCTGTGCCACTCAGAGATATATATGATAGTAAATCTGATAGTGAATCTGATTAGATATCATAGTAGTAAAGGATGTTAGTGAAATAAAAATAGATCAATAAAAGTTAGAGATCAGATCAAAGAATTGAAACCAGAACATTCGGACCATAAGAAATTAATTGTCTGTGAAAACTACATACGGATACAGGGGTCTTGATCAGAAGGTCAATTCCTCATGAACTCAACCATTTTGTCAAATACAACAAGAAAACACATAAACAAGGATGAAGCAGAAAATGATGATGAAATATTATGAGTGGGAAACTTACTAAGGAAATCTCCTAAGGTGAATTCTTTAGTGTCAGCCCACTTCTGGTAATTGACATTGGACTTCTCAGTGTTGTCAAACCAGCCTAAAGCGTCTCCAACTGTGTAATTCTTGTAAGCTTGAGCAGATCCTAAGAGACAGAAGAAAAGGAGAAGACAAGACACAGTTGAGAACATAGGATGAAAAGAGCTTCTTCCTCTTCCCTGTTTCATTCTTCTTGAGGTTTGTGCAGGTAGGTGTAGGAAGCACAGAAACACTGGCTTTTCAGGACTGGATGGCTTAAGAGAAAGGGAACGTGGGATTCTTGTGCTGACAGCTATGGACCGATTATGAAGCCCTCCCTTTCTGCCCAATTACTAAAATAGTCACTGCTCAATGTTGCTCCCAATAATTTGTGTCAGACAAGTTTAGTTGTGTTCTTTACACTTTCTTTTTCAGTTACATCTACTTAGATTTTTCCTATCATGATATCCTCTGGTTCCGTCAGAAACTATTTTCTTAATGTATAATTTCATTATTTTATAATAACTATTTTCAGAATAATTTCTGATTATTTAGTTAAACGTATCAACTATATATTATAATTAAAATTTTCTAAAAACTTATAACTCGCAAGTGGCATGCAGAAAATAGAGAAAATTAGAAAGGAACAAATTCTGACCGTGGGTAAAATGTGATGGTAGTTTGGGTTTCATAATCACTCATTGTATAAGAGATTCCTAACAAACATAGCCATGTGATAGTTGACACGTGGAATGAGCGAGAATGGTGGGTCGGTGAAACATCTTGGGTACATGTCTGGTTGGATTTAAACTTGGTTTAATAAGTTGTGTTTTTAGAGTACCAAGGAATAAAGGGAAACGTACCGGTACTCCTAATCGTTCATATCTTATCTTCTTCCTAACACAAATATATTTTAATTTGTTAAACAATTTAAAAGTTGACAGAGAAACGAATAATCTTTAAATGCAAAAACATTCAAACAAACCACAAATAATATTCGATTTTTTAACCTTTTATTTTCTACATGATGACTTACTTTTGAGTTAGATGAACGAGTCCAGCATAACTTACCAAACTCAAGATTTGTGATCCTTTCATATATATATATATATATATATATATATATATATATATATATATATTATCAAGAAAAACGGCTGAGGAAAATAGATATACGATGGGTTACATTGAAAATGACATGAATTCATATCCTTTGATATATAAAATGGCACTCCCTTAACAACACAACATTGGTTGTACCTTTGTTCTTTAGTGCACTGTACCAATTGTCCACAATTATTTCAACATAGCAATAAAACGATGCAACTACTTGAGTTAGACTTTTTATTTAGTAAATTGAGATTAGTTGGGTCTGAAAGTGATGTCTAAACCCTATTGTGATGCTATTTTTTTTTTGGCTAAGATGTGTTCTTTTGTTTTTTTACAACTGGAACAAATAATAAAAAGCAACATATGGTGTGTACAAATTAATTACTTTTTGGGTACGTAATTAAATGTATGAAAACTATAGTATATACCAGACAAAAGGAGAATCTTGAACAATGGCAAAATCAAAGTATGAATTGTAGTTAAATAGTTTAAAAATACAGGGCATATTAAAATCTCAGGACATTATAGTTTTAAGAGATTTTAAAATGTATTCATATTGCTTTGTTTAAAAAATGGTGATTGAGTTCAGTAATCGAATAATCTAATGATTGGATTATATTTTTTAATTGAGTCAAATCCAATTTAATATAATGTACTAACCAAAATAGGTGACGGCTTTTATCGATTTAATCCAACCCTATAGCCAAACTTAATTCAATTTAATTAAAAAGGTTGAATTAAAAAAAAATTGTAAAAACTTTATCCAATTTAATCTAATATTTTTAATTGAGTTGTTGATGGATTTAATGAAACTCTATCCTAGTATGCATCCCTAGTTCTAGTGTTGAAATCGTACAATGAGATTTTTCTTCTTCAAAAAGTGAGTGCTACGTGTGATATAAATGAAGCAAATGAATGATAAAATTACTACCATTAACTAGTATTATCATCGGGATTATCTAAATTTTTCTATTTATAATAAATAATACTTTAATAATAAGAATTTATATTAATAAAAAAAATAAGTATTATAAATGATCCTAATTTTTCAAAATAATGAAAAAACTATATTGAAAAATATGGTGTAAAATAAAAAATCTTATAATAAATTAGAGATAAATTTTTTAAAATTATGTAAATACAAAATTTAAAAAATACTTTTTTTATTTCTATAATACTGAATAATTACGATTGAAAACAATACATAATATATTTGTATAATCTACTACCGTAACCAATTAAAATATATTAGGATAATAATTTATAAAATTGATATATGGCATCAACAAGATAAATCTATGGATGAATATTGTAAATTTATACTACATAATACATATCACTCATTTAAACAAGAAAAAAAATGATCAATGATAAATTATAATTAGTAAAGTAGTTATGTAATTTTCAATAAAACATATCAATTGCATAATTTAATAATTATTGAATGAACATAATTTAAATGATAATTAACATAATTTGTAAGTAATAATATACATATAAATTTACATTTTCATAAACTAAATAATTAATATATATATATATATATATATAGTTTTTGGTATTATAATTTATCCACTTGTGTTTAGAAGTATTTAAAAATTTCTTTCCACACTTCATTTTTAGTATGTTATATTTCTGTTTTCATCCAATATAAACATTTTCAATATTTTTTTATTTTAACTACGAAAATATCACATAAAAGTGACCATGAATTTTACGTAGAAAATAATGTTTAACTTTAGATAATGATTAATCTTGACTATTATTATTATTATAAAAAAATAATAATTCAACTTATTATCATTAATCTTATTTATAGATTGATGTTTTAATTTCTATAAGAGATGATATATAATATATATCAATACTCAACAACGCTAGATTTGATAAAATTACAACTTTAATATATTTCTATTGAAATATAGTGTGATTACAATACGTTTACTATATTCCATGCAAATACTACCTTTCTATTTTATTTTAATGTATATTGTGCATTTACAATGTAATTAAATTTGTACTATTAAATTGTCTACAAATTAATTTGAAATTATTATTTCTTTTGGTAGGATAATTTTAAAAAATGTAATATGATCCAACAATTAAATGATTAAATTAAGCTTTAGTGAAATTTTATTAAATATGTTAAGATCCATTTAGATAATGTTAATTAATATTAAACACACAAATTTCATTTGAGAATAAATTTGTAAAATACATATGTGTTTATGGTGTAAATTGGTTTGATGTTATTGTTCAAATTTTTAGGTAATTAGTTTTTTAAAGATGAATTGACTTTTTAAGATAAATCACTTTATTACTTGTGGGTTTTGTTAAGGTTCCAACATAAAATCAATTGGCAATATGTGGAGTAGCCTAACATGTATTTAAACCATACCAAATGACATGAGGTAGGCGATGTAAGACTTTCAACACGCCTCCTCCAACGAAGCCTGTCGGACCAAGTAAAGGATATTTTTGACCCAACTAAAGGGCAACTTTTGACCTATGACAATAACCGGAAAGATGGTAGGTTTTGGCTCTGATACCAGTAATATGATCAGTGGCTCCTAAATCAAAAACCCAAGGACCAAGAGAAAATGATTGGGTCAGACCAGTAAAATATGTATTTGTATGTGTGACAAATATAGTGGAACTAGAAGACTGTTGATCCTTATACCATTCGAGAAATTTGTTAAACATAGCAGGCATGTCGGATGCAACAGAAGAAGGAGGATCCCCAGCAGATAAAAGTGGGGAAAGGTTGGTCTGAGCAACTGCAACAGATCGAGGAGGACGACCATGTAATGTATAACACTTGTTAATCTTGTGACCTAGCTTGCCACAATGTTCACACTTAGGACGTCATTTTTCCTGTTTGCGAGGACGAGTCCGGTTATCACGATGGGATGTCAACACAAAATAATCATTAACAAAATTGGAAATAGTAGAAGAAGTGGAAGAAGTCATGAAGAGCGGGAGAACAAACCCTAAAACAATCCAAAGTAATCCAATTAACCCACAAAACACAAATCCAAAATGAGAATACTAAAAATAAGTTCGTCAAGACTAAACGGTGCAGGAGACAACAGGACAACTAACTCCGATAGTAGTGATCTCAACGGCACGGTGGTCACCTGACCGAGACAAGCAAAATCATATGTCACCAGTCAAAAAATGAAATTCCGGCGAATTCTCCGACAGCGGCGGATCCGGTGACTGCTTCAGCGACAACGGTGATAGTAACGTGAACCAGTATACTAGGTAAGTTCCCAGGAAAGAGAGGTGGGTCACTAATGGACACACTTAAATACCAAATTTTTCCTTACCAGAACTTTCCTAGACATGCACATTCACACTACCAAATAAAATTTAGTAACAAAGATAATTCTTTTTTTATGTGGATGATCAGTTTACCAGCAGTGGTGGGGCGGCTCTAGCAGTGGACAAAAGGCGAAAAAAAAAATTCAAGATAACCTTAAACTCTAGATATCATGTTAAGGTTCCAACATAAAACCAATTGACAATATGTGGAGTAGCCTAACATGTATTTAAACTATACAAAATGACATGAGGTAGGCGATGTGGAACTTTCAACAGGTTTAATACAAAATAAAAATAAATAAAATAAAAGCGGTTTCCCTTTTCATGAATAATTTTTCTTATTTTCTTAGACAATTCCATTATCACGTAAAGGACTTATAATTGCTTTTGTATAATTTTCTATTGTGTTACTCCTTTTTAACCTCATGTTTCCATTCACATTTTCTTGATATTTACTTGACTTTCATGATTTCTTTAAATTAAGTTTATACGTATTGATATTTTTTTTTATATCTCCCTTGTTTTTCTTGATTTCTCTATTCCTTCCGTTCTTCTTGACCACCTCACTTACATATCAATTTTCTTTTTGATTAATATGAACTTTATTATTCGATTTACAATTCTATTGTTTTCCTCGATCTTATTTTCGTATACGTTTTTTTATTGATTCCTTGATTACTTTTCAATTTTTTATCATCCCTTAATCATCAATATTTTGATCTCGATCTTCGCTGTCTCAATCTCAAATTTTATCCTCTTAATTCTTACCATTTTGATATTAATTTATTATCATATTAGTTTCAATTTTTACCATTAATCTTGATTTTCATATTCTCGATCTTTAACATCTTGATATTAATTTTTATTACTTCAATATCGATTTTTACCGTCTCAATCACTATTTTTTGTTTTTAATTTTAATATTTTATAAAATTTATTCTTTCAATATATTTATAATTTTGTGACTAAATAGAAAATTTAAATAAACATTCATATTATAATAGAAGCTGAAAAAAATAAATGAAATGAAAAAAAAATGGCAAGGTATAGTTTTTTTTTTTTTTAAGTTAAACTATTTCAAGTATACAAATATTTATAATAACTCACGTTGTCTATTCAAATTAGTGAGTTGGACGACCCTTCGATAAAGTTATTTGTATTTCAAGCTATTAAAGTAAAGAGAGAGAGAGACGAGAATGTAGTATTGACACCGGAAAAAAAAATGAAAGTGTATTATACTCTAAATAATACAATATATAAATAACTTTTTTTAATATTTTTATATTGTGTATTTTTTTCCTATTTATACACTAATTTCATTATTTATTTGAAAAATATATTATCAGCATTTATTATACATTAACCCTTAATAATTTTTAAACAGTACACCGTATTCTTCTTAATGAATGTCATTGTAAATGTTAAAAAAAGGTAAAAAAAGAAAGAAGTGTATTATGTAATAAACTTTAGTAATAATTAGTGTAATCTATTAATCATATTATAAGAAAATAAAATGCTTATAATATATATTAAAAGGTAAAATTATTTCATAAATTAAAATTAATTTGTAAAATTGTACACTTTCTTAATTCTTTTTAAAGTTTCATATGGACAAAATGATAGAAAATTTTACTCTAGCTTAATTAATGTTTTAGTTTCATACAAGTTTACATGTTAGGTGACGTATTATTTAAAGCGTTTTTTCATTTATAAAATAATTATATAATTTTTTTTAATGAATAACTTTTACACTTTTAATTCATTAATATATATTGCTATTCTCTAAAATTTAATTAGTAAAAGATTAACTGCCATCATATCTCTGTATAATTTTTTAAAATATTTATTTTAAATTTATATCATATTATTTTTTTCTATTCTAAAAATATTTATTATTGAAAAATGTGTTTTAAAAAGCTTTTTCATGAGAGAAAATATGGAAGAAAAAATTAAAATAAATTGATTTAAATATAAGATAAAAAGTTATAAAAATGTTACATACTAATTTATACCATAAGTAATTGGCAAAATAGATATATTATTGAAATGGGGTGGAGAAAATCATGAGACCTACATAGGAGCCTTGTGGCTTCAACGTGATTCCTCACATGACTGTTTTAGAAAAGCACTTATCCAGCTATTTTCACATGCATGCACGCGCGCCCTCTATTTTCTTACAACTCTTCTTTTTAATCAAAAAGCGATTATTTTCTGCCTTAAATATTACCGTAAACAAGTTGATCAAATTTTTAAAATAAAATGATATTTGCAAAATGAAAAAAAAAGTAACTGATTGTGTTTTATTTTAACTACATATTGGTCCAATTCACCGTTTTTTATCAACTAATCTTTATGGTATAAATTTAAAACATATGTTCTGCAAATCTTGTCAAATACAATTTTATACTCTCATTATCTTAAAAATTATTAAATGTGAATTAATGCTTTAAAATATTATTTAAAGTGTTCAAACTTGTTGGTCAAAGAAAGTGGGCAAGGGTGGCTGCAATTGGTCAAAGAAAGTGGGCAAGGGTGGCTGCCAAATTTTTTATGTAACCATGAGGTGCTCATGGGACATATTTTAATGTAATGCATAGTGCCAATTTTTTGCTATAAATTGGTCTTCTTCCTACAAGCAAGAGCATCCCATCCCACACAAAATACTACTTCTCTTAGAGAAGAAAGAGTGACACCAGTGAGAGGCAGAAAAACAAGAGAGTTTTAGTTTAGCTTCTGGGTGTAATTGGGTTGTGAGTTGTGAGTGCTTTGAGAGTGTTTTGTAAACATTTGTGTATTTTCTTTTCTCCCGGAAAGAGATCTGTAGTAGTCCGGAGACGTAGGCATTATTGGTCGAACTCCGTTATCAACTTGTGTGTGCAATTATTCCGCTTTTATTTCACTTTCACGAGATCTGACCATATGGGAAGATTCGACATATTTTCCCAACAAGCTGGTATCGGAAGCTGGTTGTTAGTTCCGTAATTTTTGTGGTGTTACTATTCAAAACTAAACAAACGTAGTTAAGCATTTATCATATTGAATATAGAAAGTATTTATTGAATTAAATATAATAAAAATATTACCATTTTAAATAATAAATATAGGCATATTTAACACTTACATGTTTTTATAAAACATTATGTAACATTGGATAAAAATATATAAGTTTTACCTTTTACATATTAATTAGTGGAACCCTTACAAATTTTATGACTAAATTCAATTTGAAAAAAGTCATATGTTTTTTCCTGACTACAGCAAAATTAGATCTAAGACCTTATCAAAATTATCAAAATTAATGGTTGTTATTTTTGGTACAGAAAAATAAAAATAAAAACACAATTATCTTTTAAAGACAATCAACGTCTCATCACCAGAATTATTATTTTGAACATAAATTGTAATGCTCAAATTTTTGTTTTTTTATTTGATATATTTTCACTCCAACCAAAAATGTCTAGAAGACACTTAACAAGCTTGAATTTGTAACGTAAATTTATCCAGAATTGCTTTTTTTAGGCTTCTACTTATAAAGAGTTTTCAAAAACCAAACATGCCTTCAATTTTATAGTAGTGCTAATGGAGCAATAAAATTATTACGGAAAAGGAAAAGAGCATAACGTGTTATTGAAAAATGAATCGAAGTGGCAAACGGTGTAACATTTAATTTAACTTTAAAATAAATCAAAGGACAATAATATAATTTGGTGACATTGAATTCAAATATTGTAAGTAAAATATAAAATTTAAATTTAATAAATAAAAATAAAAATAAAAATTAAAAATAAAAATCTTATTAAATTTGATTGAAAAAGTAATTAATAAAAATTAATTATCTATGGTGAAGAAAGGAAGAACCTCTCTCAATTTTGTTAATAAATAATTTGCAAAAAGTCATAATCTTATAAAGAAATAAAAAAGGAAAGGAGCGGTTAAGTTTGGGGAACGAGGATTGAGGGTAACGGCTAGAAGATTAGTAGCCGTTGATGCGAGAGAAAATCCAACGGTCGAGGCTGAAGATAGAATTGACCGTTGGAAGCGAGAGTGTGTTGTATAAATAAAACCTAGCCGTTGAACAAACGTTCATTTCTCAAAGGAACAAACAAAGAAACATACAAAGACAGTGTTTCATATTTTTCGTTCATTAGTTCGCTGTAGAAGCAAAAGAGAAAGTTGCTACCGACACAGTGCTTGAATCCGCGGTGGCGACAACCGACGTAGGAGGCGGAGGAGAGGCGCGGAACGGTGGTCTTCAGGGGTTTCTGTCGTCGCTGTTCTCCACTCTCGGTGGTGTTTTTAGCTCGTCTTTTCAAGAAACACAGCAAAACGTTGTCATGGCTTCCAGAGCGGAACAACCCATCAATGGTTTTTTGTTTTTCCTTTTGTTCTTTTTGTCCTTTTCTTGCTGCCAACTTGATACACGTTTGAATGTTTTTTTTTTTTTCTTGTACTTGAACACGGGTCCCTTTTAAGATTTGTTGGGATAAAGTTTGAATAATTGTTCTGTGCTTTCTTTCTCTCTTTTTTTCGTTTCTGAAATTGTAGTTTTGTTGTGTGGTTTAAGGTGAGGTTCGTGAGAACAAGCAGAAGAATATGGGTGGTGAAGGAAGAAACAGAAGGGTTCTTCAGGATATTGGGAATCTTGTGGCCAAACAAGGCAATGGTGGTATCAATGTGTCTAAACCTGTCACAAGGTATTTTTTCCTTTTTTTTTTTGATAAATCTATTTTCTATAACGTCTCATTTTTATTTTGTTTCCTTTGTTTAATTCTTCTTCACTTTTAACTAGGAACTTTCGTGCGCAATTGTTGGCCAATGCACAAGAGAAGACCAAGGTTGCACTTCTCTTAGCGCTTTATTGTTCTTTGACTTTTTAGTTTTTACCTATCTGATTTTCAAACAGAAATCAGTGAAGTAATTTCTTTTGTTTTTGAAACGGACGTGTCCTAAATCTGTGGAAGTGAATCTTATATAGAAATCAAGCACTGAAGTGGAGAATGGCGTGGTGGTAGCAAAGGCGAAGGCAGCTCAGAAGCCTAAAGAAGAACCTGAAGTAATTGTGATTAGCTCTGATGATGAATCGGAAAAGGAGATTCAATCAGTGGTTAAGGGAAAAAAGACAAGAGACAAAAATGCCAAGGCCTATAGTTCAGTCCTGTCTGCACGAAGCAAGGTTGTCCCTCTTTTTCACCTTTTGGAATGTGGTTTGGGATTTTGTGGGTGCTGTTTTCCCTATACACTGTAGTTTGTGGTCTAACAACAGAACATGTCAACCTCAGGCTGCTTGTGGACTCCCAAGGGAATTGGTAGTGAACATTGATGCAACTGACATGGACAATGAATTGGCAGCAGCTGAGTATATTGATGATATCTATGAATTTTACAAAAATACTGAAGTAATGCTCTATGTTTTCTCTTTGTTCATCTCCCCATCTTCCCTCTTACCATGCACTTGTTGTTGTAATAATATATTTGATTTTGATGAAGCAGAATGATGGCCGTGTGCATGATTACATTGATTCACAGCCAGATATTAATGCCAAGATGAGATCAATCCTTGTGGACTGGTTGATAGAAGTGCATAGAAAATTTGAGCTCATGCCAGAAACTCTCTACTTGACCCTGAACATTGTTGATCGTTTCCTGTCTGTGAAGGCTGTGCCTAGAAGGGAACTTCAGCTTGTTGGCATCAGCTCTATGCTGCTAGCCTCAAAATATGAAGAGATATGGGCACCAGAGGTAGGATTCTTCTCTTCTAGGATTATGGATCTGGATCATCTTCTGAGAATAATAACTGTGGTAACTTATGGTTTGTGTTTCCGATGTATGTATGCAGGTCAATGACTTTGTGTGCATATCAGACAATGCTTATGTCTGTGAACAAGTGTTGTTGATGGAGAAGACAATTCTTAGGAAGCTGGAATGGTACTTAACGGTTCCTACACCCTATGTCTTCTTGGTTCGGTACATCAAAGCCTCCACTCCATCTGATAAAGAGGTATAATTCTTTGTAGTTGGTTGTTGTTACTTTTTTAGTTTTTTTTTTAGAATGATCTGATGAATGTGCCTAATTCTCATCAATGTAGATGGAAAATATGGTGCTTTTCCTTGCTGAACTTGGTATGATGCACTACCCTACTGTAGTCTTGCACTGCCCCTCTTTGATTGCTGCTTCTGCTGTACTTGCGGCTCGATGTACCCTTGAAAGGACCCCATTCTGGACAAGCACTTTGAAGCACTACACACGCTACTCTGAGGAGCAACTCAGGTTAATATTCTCTTGGATCAACAAATTCGATATTTGAACATATTTAAGCATGCAAGTATGTATTTTTTTTTCTTTTAACATTCATGAAGTAACTTTTGTTTTTATCTGCGGCCAGGGATTGCGCCAAAATCCTAGTCAACCTTCATGCCGCTGCTCCAGAAAGTAAGCTTAGAGCAGTTTACAAGAAATTCAGTAGCTCAGATTGCTGCTCTGTTGCCCTTCGTTCTCCAGCAAAGAACTTAACCACACTGTCTTAAACATTGTAGTTTATATAGAGGGTTGTTTAGGGGTGAAGATCATGGCTGTTATGATCTATGTATGGATTTATTCGTTGATATTTTTAGTATCGTATTCTTTAAAGGTGTGTGATAGAAGTTTGCTTTTGGGTGCTAGGAAATTGCTTGAAGTTTGATGATAATTTTGTGTAGCAGAGAGTTTTGCTGCTAATGAATAGTGAGTTAGTTTTGCACTAATGGATAGTTAGTGAGTTTTTTCGATTAAACTCTCATTGTCTTGTTTATGTGTGACCCACTTGAAGTGTGGATGTCATAGAAGCCCAGAAAAAGTAATTGCATCCCAGCAAGTTGTGTGAATGTGTTTCTCGTTGTGATGATGCCCAAAAAATGTATTTGATGATAAGACAAGATAATTCAGACTATTCAAGTAATGTTATAAAGTTTCCATGTTTCTAGAAATATTCCATAAATTCTTATATCAAGTGAACAAATATTTTATGTTGCAAGCTTAGTGTAAAAGATGACTTAAGTGCATAATATTTATTTAAGTAAACTAACTCCTTTAATAATTTCGCTAGTATAAAACTGCTAAATTGGTATTTAAAATATATGACTTGTGCGATAAAAATTTAATACCGAAAATGAATTTAAATCAAATTAGATGACATAAAAAATACAGAATCATATTTTTGAATTTATAATTAATAAAAAATATATTTTTATTATAAGAAAATTAAATCATTTTTTCCGTACTATATCATAAATACAATGTTTACTAAATTATTCGTTCATTGCAGAAGTGCCCTTCAATGATGTTTTTCATATATTAAATAAATTATTTTATCTGATTTAACAAATAAAAAATTGCATTAATTATGCTATACTACTACACTATATATTTTGAATTTTTGTTTCTCTTTTCAGTTTTTATAATAACATAAACTTAAATTATCTTTTTTATTCTTGAAATTTACCTAAAACTGGTTTTGGTCCCTCAACATAAGAAAACAATGTTTTAATTATTAAAAACGAAACAAAATGATCTTAGTTTCTAAAAAATTAAATTTAAAAAACTAAAATAACTTTGTTTTTATTAAATTTAAGAAATTTAAATATTTTTTAATTTAAAAGACAAAAATATTTATCCTAAATTTCAATAATTAAAAATGTAATTTGTCATAAATACTAGATTTTTTTTATAAAAAGAACTAGAAGATACAGAATGTTGCTAAGTAATTAGTAGAATGATTCTCATGTCTTATTATATGTAATAATATCGTTATTTGTTATATATTTTTAATAACATGTTATCATACCAAATAAATTTTGAATAAAGATATTGGTTTACTTAATTAATATCGCATCGTATTAAAATTTAGAATAATAATATATTAACAACTTCTTCTAATAATGTGCAAGGAATAAAATGGTGATTAAAATATTATCAAAAGAAAGTTGTCTAATATCGAAATAGAGTTATTAATTTTTTAAAATTTATTTTCTAAAAAAAATAATACTTTAATAATTTATTATAGATCATTAATACACAACTCTTAAATAAGAAAATTAAAAAATTATTATTATTATTATTATTATTATTATTATTATTATTATATTCATACATAAGAGATTATCAAATAATTGATTTTTTACTGGTTCTCCGTGTATCCCTGGCCTTCTCTTAAATCACCTCTATCTAAAAGCATGTCTTTATTACTGTTCAAAAGTCGTCCTATTATTTAATTTTTAACTGGACGAGTGATATGATAGCATCCACCTCTTAGATACCCTTCCTCTTCCCTTCTTTCCATCTTCTCACCCTATCAGAATTACTACGATTCCAAACCATATATAGATAGAGCTGAGTCAAACATTGAGTTCACGAGAACTTCTGACCACAAGGAGCCGTTGGAAACCACTTTGTTTCAATGTCAGAACCCATTGGACTTTACAAAAGAATAAATCGAACAAGCTACAAAATTTTTAGTTTTTGTTATAACCACTATAGTAGTAAAACAATTTCGTGTAAGCTAGAGTAAATTTATTTATCCTTTTGGCATTTGGGAAGGGGAAATGATACTCTTTGATGGGGATCCTGTTGTTGCATGTCTATCTTCTCTTCTGGGCTAGGGTTGGGAATAGTAGCTTCTTCATCCTCTGTTTCTTCAGGTTCAGCAGACCTTTGGCTTGGAATTCCAAACATGTAGTTGGGACCGATTAACGTGTCCGGAACAGGTGGAAGCGGGATACCAGGTCCAGCTATAGACTTCGGCAATGGTATCTTGTTGCGGTTTTGAGCCAACTCCAGTAGCACCTGCCAAGTGATCACGTTAAACATCGTCTTTCAGGATGACATATTGTTGCTTGAAGTAAAAAGACAGATGATCAAGCAACAAATATTTCACACACCTTAAGTATAGTATTAATCTCAGTAATAGGTTTCTACTTTCTAGATAATTTTGATTTTAAGTGATAATCATGTCCCACTGAAAGGCAATCTCAGCCATAATTCCGAAACAACTTTGGCTTCTGCAAGCTAGTAATATAACTGCAATACGAGTGATTCTTTCGAAATCCAGTATGATTATTTAAAGAAATATATTGTTCAAAATTATGTAGCACAGGTCCTAGTACCATTTTGTTTTTGCTGACATGAAGTACACCATGATTGTCATACCCGCAAGTTAACTCTTAGATTTTGTACGCATTTATGATTCAAAAATAAGTAAATTTAGTTAATCTTTTTGAGAACTCGTTCTTGCACGGTCTTGGATAGACTTCAGTAGATTCATAGTTTGATACATACACGGTCAGGGTCAGAGTCAGAGTGTAGAACAAACCCACAAATCTAGACCAAAACTTTTGCTTATTGTGTTTTTTAGATGTTAGTGCCATCATTCTAATTTTCCCTCGTGCACGAGCCAATCCAGCCTCCAAAGAACACTCTCTGCCCTATTCAGGATGCTCGGTTTGAAAGAGGTTCCAACATGAAACATATTCCTGTGAACTCAATTCCAGTAACATCACCTTCTTCCATTAACAAATCTAGTCCATATAATCTTCATCCAGAAACCAGAAACCAGAAACCAGCTTCCCAGCTTGAACACACAGTCACAGGCTCCATTTCCATCTCAGCAAATTCCGCAGTGAGGCTCCCACTCCATCTTCGTTTAATTTTTTCCCTAATCATCATGGTTCATGCAACTTTGTTATTGTTAGATATTATGTTTGCACTTGGTGCTTTATTCCATCATTCCCTGTTTTGTTCCACCACATTATCTTTGTCCATCATTATTGAATTTGCAGTATTCTATTAGTATTATATAGACTTCACGAGTAAACTCTACAAATGCTCAACTAGTTCACCTAAACTATAGAGCTTGACAACCTATTTTGGCACCTTTATTGCATATGATACCACTGTTCAAATTTAATATTAGAAACTAACAGAACTGAACATCTTTCTCCTAATGGGTTTTACTTAAGTTGTAGCAAATAAACATGCCAACCTCTCTCATATAGCTTGGCACTTGAAATACATGCTTAGGTTTTAACTACAAATAAGGGAGACAATAGAAGCATTGGGGAGAGGGAGTGCCTGTATTTTCTATCAGAAAAATCACAACCAGCCTAACCAATGTACTTTTTCCTTCTCTATTGGACGTGAAACAAAATCTAACCAATGTGTACGAGTATTGAAAAATTAAAAAGCTACTAACATTACCTCACGAGGGGGTGGTTGCGAGAAACTGAAGTTAAGCTTGGATTGAATAGCAAGCTTAACATCATCACAGTCGATTTCAGACTTGCCTGCATGCTCTGAATACACTTGGGCATCTGTTAACACATCAACAATGTAGCGATACCACAGCTCAAGAAACTTGTGTATAACAGGAGGTTCATAGTCCTCCACGCCCATTGATTTCAACAAAAACTTCACAATCTTTGCATCCCTTGGCATAGTCAACTCTTCATCTTTATCTGCCATGCCTGTGCGTTGAACCCAAAAACAACATTTTTTGATTATTTGAAACAAATGGGTAATTGTTGTATGTTACGTTGATAAATGGGTAATTGCAAAGCAGAGTCTAGGTCTGAAGGTGAACAAGCAATCACCATGAAAAATTCTCATGCATTATCCATTAGGAGATAGAATGTATGTGCATATAATAAAGCAAGACCAGTAGTGCAAATTCATAGATTGCATTGAGAAAGATATTCACAAATAAAAATGGAATTTTACACACTCGTGAAATTCTCAACAGTTTCACGGCAGAAAAGGGAAAGGACAAGGAACTCACGTCGGTGTGGAAATAAGCCACCGAGAAAATACAATGCTGCCCACCGTGCCGGAATCTGAGAGGCTTCCTGCTGAAAAAATGAAACCTGACGTCGAATGTATATTTCTGAACTCTGAATATCGGGTTTACATCTAATAATCAAATTTTGTTATAAACTATAAATATTTTATTATACCAAATATAAATAAATATAATAAATTGGACTTTTTCAAAAAAGATCAAACAAATTATTGACCAAAAGAAATATTTATATTATTGTGCATCTAAATACGAATTTATTTTAAATTTTTTTATTTTCAAAAAAAGTAAAATATATTTCCTTTTAAGAAGAGGGATTTGTTTATATTTATTATTACTGTGGATGGATGATAATGATAATATAATTCTGACTATGTATAATAACAAGAAATATAGAAACTACGTAATAAAAATATATATTTCATTATCATTCATTCAGTTTTAAATAGTTGTTTTTGAATTAGTAGAACTCTCACCTTAAAACAAAATGGCTTTATCAAAATTGAAAATTGAATCTAAATTAAACTTATATGACATAACATGAAGAAATGAAAAAAAGAAGAAGTTAAGAAGGAGTTTTAATCAACTATATAAAAAAAAAATAGTGACACTATTGCATTCTTATTGTTTAAAATGAAAATTGAAAAGAAAAAGCAAGCAAAGTGATTAAGAAAAATATAGGTATAATAACATAACATAATATTAATGTTCATTGAAAATTTTGTTTTGTTATGGTTATGTTATTTATACCAAACAGCGGGACTTATAAGTAATTAAATGTATATACTATATATCGAGGCCCCAATAGGTGTGAGAAAAATGTATTAGTAAAGCCATTAAGGAATTAGCAATGCAGTTATTCCATATAATGCATATGACCTAATATGCAATTAATCTTGATTATTCTAAATTAGGTTTATTAGGAAAGAACAAGCAATCTTTTACAAATTTGTCAACTATCAGTTAATTTTTGTTAAATTAATTAGTTATCTATGTTTTGTATTATATTCAATTTTATTATTTTTTAAACTAATTAATTTATTATGTTTTTTTTAACTAATTAGACAATAACCATTATATATATAAGTCTTATCTAATTCGAATTAATATATTACGAATATTTTGATTAATTTCATAATACATATGCATAATTTATATTTATTATTATAATTAAAATAAAAATCCTCATTGAACAATATTTTTTTTTGTATTTTTGACATTATCATTAATTATAAATTGTTAGATAATGAAATTTTTTATTAAAAGATAAAAAGTCATATTTGGAGTAAACTGTAATTAAACAATAATATAAAATTCTTGAAACAAATCGTGAATAAATTAAATGCTTAAATTAAGTAGAGGATTTGAATAATTTGTATAAAGTTATAAATAAATTCATATGCTTTTCCCTCCTTTATCGGTTGACTTGATTGTGAATGCCACCTGGCACAGTACATTTATAACCATTAATTAATTAATTAATAACATATATTTATTATTATTATTATTATTATTATTATTATTATTATTATTATTATTATTATTATTATTATGTATTATATTTAAAGAAAAAATTAAAGTAAAATTACATTATAAAAAAATACAAATAAATAAAAACTAATAATAATTACAATAACGTTTTTAGAATTGTATAAATTGTTTTATATACAATTTATAAAAATGAATAAACAATACACTATTTATGGACTCCCTTATTATTAATAAAAAAATACATCATTGTTTTTTTAAAAACACATTTTTAAATTTTATTTTTAAAATAGACTGTGATATTATTTTATTGTGTGGATATTATATATTACCATATAATGTTTAGAGAAAAAAAGATAATTAATTTATGAAAAATAGATAAAAAATCATAATTATTATTATAATTATAATAATTTTTAATTTTATTAATTATTCTTTTATTACTAGAGAAATAATTGCGTTTTATTTTCCCTGTCGTTATCAAGTGCATGATTTCTATTCATACAGTTATTCTTAGAAACACCCATTCGACAGGTGTTACCTGTACTTTTTGCATGGGTTGTGTTTCAAAATTCAAGTTTTCACCTCAAAAGCTATTATTAGTATATTGGATTCTTTCCATTTACATTGAAAAAAATTCATTAGAAGCAATCATTTAGAAATTAAGTTGAAAATTATTGTTTTTAAATTAAAGAAAAATATTTTTTAGAAATCATTTAATGTAATAAGTTAATTTTAATTCTGAATTATGAAATTATTTTCTCAAACAAACTGCATATAATATTTACTTAAAAAAATTATAATTTTGGAATTTTTTCTTTACTTCACTCAGACACAATTCACTCAGACACAAAGACGAATTCCAAGTCAAAAAACGAACACGGAAAGCTATCTCCAATTCATTGAACGTGAATAATATAATTGCATATCAAATATTACAAAAGAGAGCGAGGGTTTTCATGCCACCCTTGCATTTTTTAAGCAAAATCAAAATGGAAGTGTCAGTGAAGTAAACGCTGAATGAACAGAACAGCCAGGTAAGGGCTTTGAATGGGACCCTGAAAATGGAAGAAATTGAAGTTTAAAGCATAAGCATGGTGAGTAATGTAATGGTTATGGTAGTAATAACAACAAAAAAAACACCATAGTAGTATGTAACGTCGTAAAGACAAGGATTCCAAGTAGCCTAGTTCCGTTCAAAGAAGCTTGTGTTGTGTTGTGTTGTGTGGCAAGGGATCACAGAAAGACAACACAACACAAAACGTTGACACTAAAATCCCGTAAGAGGGGGGCCACTTCACACACGGGCGGCACAACACAACCTATTATTTTTCCTCTTTTTCAAAAAGCAAGCTTTCATCTTTCTCATTCTCTCTATCCATATGCTATGTGCTGATTCTCCCTCTCTCTAAAAACATTGATCTGACCACTGCTTGTGTATAACCAAATTGGAGCAACCGCTTTGCATCTGATCCTAGAATCACAAGCCTCTCTGCCCATTTTCTATCATCTCATCATCTGTAAGTTAAGGCTTTCTTTTTGTCTTTTTCTTGTTAGCTTTTTCCCCTCTGCTTTAAGTTTTATTCAAAAGAACAAAATATGAAAAGGAGTGAAAAGAAGGACATTAGGGGGGTTTAGTTCCTCGTGAGAAACTCTCAAAATATGCTTTGACTTCAATAAGCTTAATGGGTTGTGGACTTGGGGTATCTCTGTTTATTACTTTCTCATTTTTTGTATGTTTTGTTTGTTATGTATTTTTGTTTTTGTTCTTCGTGTGTGTATATATGTCCCCTTTCTTTTATTGTTGTAAGCTATAATTTGTTTATTCTTTTGCTGTAAATAAGGTTTGTTTTTGTGATTGGCAGAGGTAATTGTCTGTGAAAAATGACAAGGGTGACTCGTGATTTTGGTGATACAATGCAAAAAGAGGCCGTGCCTGCGGTGTCTTCTGATGTTATGTTTGCTTCTAGTCGGTTTCCTGATTATAGAATTGGAGCTAACAATCAGATAATGGAGACAAAGGATGATCCCAAAGTGCTGTCTATGAAGGAAGTTGTTGCACGGGAGACTGCCCAGCTGTTGGAGCAGCATAATCGTCTCTCGGTTCGTGATCTTGCCAGTAAATTCGAGAAGGGTTTGGCCGCCGCGGCTAAATTGTCTGAAGAGGTTACCCTTTCTTCTGGTTAAAAATCAATTATTTTTTTCATTGGAATATAGTTCTTCCTTTTGAAGGGTTTTGCAACCTGAGGTTGTTATTTTGCAATGTTTGCGATTATCATATTCTTAGTTTTTAAAGAAAGGGATGGTCCTTTTTTTAAACCTTTTCATATACTGGTGGTGAATCCAGGCTAGACTTAGAGAGGCTGCATCTTTGGAAAAACATGTTCTTTTGAAGAAACTTAGAGATGCGCTTGAATCCTTAAAAGGGCGTGTGGCAGGCAGAAACAAGGATGATGTGGAAGAAGCTATTGCTATGGTTAGTTCTATTTTTATATTTTGTAAACGGAAGATATATACTTCACATTTGTTTCTTCCAAATAAACAGATTTTCATATTTATCTGTTATGTGCTTTTTCATACGAAGCTAGCTCTATAAATATAAAGTCTTGTTTATTGCTATAGAAGTCAAATTGGGAGAGTGTATGTTGATGGAAAGGCTTTGAGAGTAAACTTGGGAATATTTTTCTTAAATTTTGCATATATTTGTAGTAGTACATTCTCTTATCTACATAATACTTTCATTGCTCCATGAATACAAAAATTATAACTTTTTTTTTTAAAAGAACGTTCATTGTAGTGCCAGTTTATTTGTGCATTCACAGTCTTTTAAGAGATGCAACTGTAACTTATTCTGCGCATTCTTCAGGTTGAAGCTCTAGCGGTTCAGTTGACTCAGAGGGAAGGAGAACTAATACAAGAGAAGGCAGAGGTGAAGAAGCTTGCAAATTTTCTTAAGCAGGTGAGTTGCCTTGTTTTACGTGGTGATGAACGAAGTTTGATTAGAAATAGGAAAAGAAATGGAGATCAAGCATTATAAGATATCCTCTTTATCAACATTAAAAGTAAACACAATGAGACCAACAATTGCATCAGAGAGAACTCCAGTCTCTTACAATCCTTACTAAAGAAATTTCCTGAAAAAGTTTGTGCTGAGCTCCACAGAGATGACATAAATCCTATTCTATCCCATCACAAGTTTGGGCAAAACAACTTCCAAGCACTCTGCCTCAACCATGGAACAAGAAAGCATTAATTGTGGACTTCCATGAATTGAGCGACACATTACTTCTTTAACTCTGATCAAGACCGGGATGTTGCATATTAACAATATAACTTCACAAATACACCAGCTTCTGTGCAATGAAATATTTTTCCTGAGCTTTAATCTTCTTTACATGCCTGCATAAAGAAATTCCTTTTCCGATGCTGATAGTTCATATTAATTTATAGGCTTCTGAAGATGCTAAGAAACTTGTTGATGAGGAAAGAGCTTTTGCTCGTGCTGAAATAGAGGATGCCAGAGCAGCTGTTCAAAGAGTGGAAGAGGCCCTTCAAGAACATGAGAGAATGTCTCAAGCCTCTGGGAAACAAGTACGTGCTATTTACTTGTAATTTGTCATGTTTTATTATAGGAAAAGTGGTAATAAGTTTTTGTTGAGAAGAGTATCTACATAGGCTCATGGTATATATTTGCAAGTAGTTATCTTGTTATAAGGACAAGGGAAAGTCGAAGTGGGGTATTTTGCCCAATATTTTTACTTTTTTGTTTAAAATTATGCTTCAAGGTTTCTTGCATTTTTCTTTCCCTCCGTTCTAGGTTTATATTTTACTTGAAAGCCTGGACTAAACATCTTACTCTTTTGACTATTTTATAATTTGAGGATACCCTTATCGGTCTTATGGTTTAGGACATGGAACAATTAATGAAAGAGGTTCAAGAGGCTCGAAGAATCAAAATGCTGCATCAACCGAGCAAGGTATATATTGAACACATACACATGTCCCTATTTTGTTTCTCATCTAATTGCTATTTCCAATGCCTTCTCTTTTTCTTGGTTCCATTTTTTTTAGGTGTTCCAGTCTCTTAATTGTTCTCTTTTGTTGAATTTGCTTTCTTTCCTCTATTTTCTTAGACTTCTTTTATCCATATTCTTAACATTATTATTAAGTTATTTGAGATATATGATTACATTGATTGTTGATTGAATTGTAGGTCATGGATATGGAACACGAACTTCGAGCATTGAGGGGTCAACTTGCAGAGAAGACTAGACAGTATCTTCGACTTCAAAAGGAGGTATGTCTGGTCCAATAATTCTTTCATAATTGTTTTATTTTTTTGATGAATGATACAAAAAGAAAAGTTTTTAAATACTAATGAAAAACTAGTGAATATTCAATATTCCATATTCCTTCGCTGAGGTAGTATGATCTTTAGATAGTCTTGGGAAGATCTTCTATTTCTTACATGGTGTGATGGAAAATTCCATGATTTTATTAATTTGGATTAGTGGTTGGGTGTTGATGTTGACCAATGTTTTTTCTTTAAGTGAATGGGAAGTTTCTTGCTTAAATGGAGGAGTTTTGTGATTGTCTTCCATTGATCATTGTAAGCTTTTTACTGATTATCCTTCATAATACTACTTTTCAGCTAACTAGGACAAAGAAAGGTGGGGACAATATTCCTCATCTATATGAACTTGAAGGGAATGAAACCTTAGGTTCTTACTTGCAAATTCAACCTTGCTCTGATAATGCCCCTGAAGTTTCTAAATGTTCAATTCAGTGGTATCGTGTGTCATCTGATGGAGCCAAAAAAGAATTGATCTCAGGTATTTTTTTTTTGTTTTTTTGAGCTTGCTAGTCAGCTGACTTTTGATTTATGCATTTTTCCTGCTGATGGTATTGCATTTTTTATAATTGGTCACTTCCCGGAAAGTGAATTACAGTTATGGTGATGACAATTCTATCCTTTAGTATTTATAAATTATAAATGACATACAGGAAGCATTGAAACTCTCACCAGTTCAGTATGACTGCTTGGGCTGTGTAAATACTAATGATTATTTTAGTTATACCTAAGCTACTTTATAAGATGGTATCTTATCTATTCTTGTGATGTGTGTTGGTCTTATCATACCACTTTCTATTGGGTCACTGTCTGACTACTTATAAATATTTAGTTGTATGTTCGAGGTGTTTAGTCCTTAATTAGAGAGGGTGTGTTTTTGATATGATATTGACAAAAGGTAAGACCAAATTATAATATATAAGTGAATACAAAATTTATGTTTCAAATTGGTTTTATAGGATTAAGTACGATAAAAAATATTATTCATACCTTATGACTTTCTTTTTGTGGCTGTTATACATTCAAGTTAGTCAAACTTATTATGTAAGCTGTGCTGTTAAAGATTCCTAAAGACTTGTTAAATATGTCATCAAGTTAGTTCATTGGTTTTATCTTTCCTTATCATATAATGCGACTTTCTCAGGAGCAACCAAATCAGTTTACGCCCCTGAGCCTTTTGATGTTGGACGCATATTGCAAGTTGATATTATTTCAGAAAGTGAGTATGTCACACTTTCAACTGCTGGTCCAATAGATCCAGGTCTGGTTTCAATTTGACTTATCCTTATTTGCATTATTAGTCATTAACAGGCATTGCTTCTATACATTTTTCTATTTTAAATATGAAGACTTCTTATCTGTTTTTGTAAGAGATAGAGACATGTTTTGCTGTGCAATCATTTTAAGCTTAGATTTCTTTTGTACTCTCATTCAGCTGCTGGTTTGGGAACCTATGTAGAGGCGCTTGTGCGCAAACATGACACTGAGTTTAACGTATGCTGTTCTGATCCTTTTAACTTTTATTAATTTCCTTATTATATAGTTACATGAGCGTCTTGTTAAACGTGTATCGTTATGTGGGCTTTTGCTGAGTGATTTAATAAAATTTTTAACAAAGGGTATTGTTTAGGTTTGACAAACTGCTGTTGTACCTTTCTCTTCACATTTCAAAATAAAAAGTTCAGAAGTCAAATCTTATCACATTACGTGACGATAATATTGTAGTTTCATTACTGCTTTGCAGGTAGTTGTAACCCAAATGAATGGTTTACATCATCCAACTGAATCTATTCATGTGCTTCATGTGGGAAAGATGAGGGTGAAACTCTGCAAAGGAAAGACGACAATTGGCAAAGAATACTATTCAAGTTCAATGCAGGTATTTCAAATTGTTGATGCTATATATATTTTGATTCTGAAAAGCGAAACAATGTTCTAACCTCTTTTTTGCACTCATTCTCCATCAATGTTAATCATTCTGTTGATATATATACTTTGTGCTTTGGATTATTCGATGTCATCTGTGTATGAAAATGCATTTGTTTTCGTGCTCTTAGTAATGTCTTCATTTTTTCCCTTGTCACATGTGAGAAACTGGAATTTGGTTAACCATACTGCTTTGGTCTTGTTCTCTTTAGCTTTGTGGAGTTAGAGGAGGTGGAAATGCGGCAGCGCAGGCACTTTTTTGGCAGCCAAAGCAAGGGCATTCTTTTGTATTAGCTTTTGAATCAGAGCGAGAAAGGAATGCTGCCATCATGCTTGCAAGAAGATTTGCATTTGACTGTAATGTATGTCCTTCTGAAACTTGACACATTTGTTAGAATTTGAGAATTCATCCTTTCTCTCTCTTTTTGGCCACCGTGGCTAAATTGTAAATGCAAATAATTGCAGATCATGCTTGCTGGACCAGATGACAGAGCTCCTCTAGGGACATGACGAGTCTCCTTACATCTTTTTCCCCCCACCCTTGTAATTATGAGTTTTTCTACCTTGTATTATTATTATGATTGAAACACTTAAAAGCTTGCTTATAATATTGGTTTAGCTAGTAGTATGATTCATACCTTGTGGTCTGAATCATTTATATAATTTTGTTTCATGAGTCCAAGGCATTTTTTTTATTTGCCTTTGTGAGATTAGTTTATATTTATTATAGAATCCATGGCTGCCATGTCAAGTGTTTGAGATGCTAACTGGTTGTATAAGATGGACAGACAATTACTGAGAATTCTGATTGCAATTGTCTGCGGACACTGGTCTCGTGAACAAGACAATATGTGAATCATCTCTCATTTGTAATATAAAAGAATCCAATGTTTAAATTGCTAGATTTCTCAAGAACTGTAGATATATAAAAAAAAATGCTTTGTTTATTGCTTCGTTATCTTGTCTTGTATATTAATGGGAGGTTTATGTTTATCGGTGAAATAAAAATTTGCAGCATTAACCAAAAGTAAAAATACAAACTAAGAAAAAAAAACTCATGTTATATACTGATATTTTGATCTTTAAAAAATTAATTTAGTGATACATCAAAATTTTAAAAGACTAATTTAATAATAGATTCTTTAAAAAATTGATATTATTAGTTGCGTATCAACTTAATGAGTTATTGTTATCTTTATATTCTATATAAAAAGTATTTTAATTAATTTTCTTGAACACTATTTTTTTTATCATTAAATACATTTAATAATCAATAATAGACTGTATCAAAATATTTAATAATATCAACTAATAATTAATAAATACAGCATTTGTTTTTATCAAACCTAGACATTCTTAGTTTTGCAACGTTAACAAGTTTAAAAAGTTTTGACTGGTCGGTGTCCTTTTTTTGAATAATAATTAGCTTAGATATCTGTCTTTAAATTTTATAAACGGACTATTGATTTTGGTCTCATAAATTTTTTATATTTAATTGATTGAATAGTTATTACAAATGACAAATACCAAAAAAAATTCGTAAAATAAATATTATTTTGACTTTTTTTCAACTATGTAGATGTAACGATGATAAAGTTGAAAAATTTTAGTTGGTCGGTGGCTTTTCCCTCCTTAAACAATGTACACTCCGTGTGGACCATGCTTTGGAGAGTGGAACGCTTGGTCTTGTGGTCCAACCAACTCAAAAACGTCAATCAACGGCTACCATTGTTCTTGTCTTTGTGGCAAAAATCTGTCCCTTGATGTAATATCAATTTTTTTTTCCACTTTTTTTCTATTTTTTATTGCCCCCTACAAAAGCTTGATCTGTATGCTGTTGTGCTGTGTAAATCTCATTCACAGTTACTCTCCCTCTCTGTCACTTGGATCACTTATCCCATCTCAATTCACAGGTACTTCTCTACTCTCTTTCTCATGTTTCTACTTCACTCCCACCTAGTATTTTCCATTTTTATGATCCCCTTTAGGCCAATTTCACCATGTTTTTTCAATTTGGATTTTTGTGAGGGTGGTATCTCTTGTATTCAACTCAAATGATCAAGCATTGACCATCTTATGATTCTATGTATCTTCTTCCATTTTGATTCCTGGGTAATCCATTGATAGAAAGAAATTAATTACATAGTAAAATACAAATAAGTATTATATATTTTTTCTAGTATCATCACCCTGATATGGAATGACAATTTTTGTCGCATTTTTGGAGCATGGAGATCTAAAGGTTGTATTTTGAATCGTGTTTTTGTGACTATCTAATGCTGATGCAAGTGATCCGGCATGTTGCAGTGTTTTCTTTTGCAAATAATTGACTAGAGAGTTAACTTGTGACTTTGGTTGACTTTGATTTGTTTCGTGATTGGATTGGAATTGGATCTCGATCAAGCTAACTTCTGTGAAAATTTATAATCTGTAATTTAGATATGTCCACATCTGATGAGCCAGAAGTGGTCGAAAGGGGTACCAAGGATGAAAAACACAAGGAAGATGATAAAGAGGAAGAGAAGGGTGGATTCATTGAGAAGGTGAAGGATTTCATTCACGACATTGGTGAGAAGATTGAGGAAGCTATTGGGTTTGGGAAACCAACTGCTGATGTTACTGCGATACACCTTCCATCAATTAATCTTCACAAGGCAGATCTTATTGTTGATGTGCTCATAAAGAACCCAAATCCAGTGCCGATCCCTCTGATTGACATAGATTACTTGGTTGAGAGTGATGGAAGGAAGCTAGTTTCCGGATTGATTCCAGATGCAGGTACTATCCATGCACATGGAGAGCAGACTGTCAAAATTCCTGTTACTTTGATTTATGATGACATCAAGCAAACATATGCTGATATTAAACCAGGAAGCATCATTCCTTATCGAGTGAAGGTGAGTCTCATTTTTGATGTTCCCATCTTGGGAAGGTTTACTCTACCTTTGGAGAAAACTGGAGAAATCCCCATACCTTACAAGCCTGATATTGATCTTGAGAAGATTCATTTTGAAAGGTTCTCTTTTGAAGAGACAGTAGCAACTCTTCATTTGAAGTTGGAAAACAAGAATGATTTTGACCTTGGCCTTAAAGCGCTTGACTACGAGGTCTGGCTTGGTGAGGTAAGCATTGGTGGTGCAGAACTCACCAAGTCTGTTAAAATCGAGAAAAGTGGGATTAGCTACATTGACATTCCAATTACCTTCAGGCCAAAGGATTTTGGCTCTGCACTCTGGGATATGATTAGAGGAAGGGGAACTGGTTACACCATGAGAGGAAATATTGATGTTGACACTCCCTTTGGAGCAATGAAATTGCCCATCAGCAAAGAAGGTGGTACAACCCAACTTAAGAAAAAGAAGGAAGACCGTGATTATGATGATGATGACGACGATGAGGTTTGTGAAAACTCCTTTTAACTATGTTTCTTGATTCCTTTCTATGTTTTCAGCGTTCTCTAGAAAATGATAAGCATGCAACTATACATATCATCAGCATATAAGTTCCGGTTAATGAATACATGTACATATGCAATCATTATGTAAATGACATGTTGGGTTCGTAACAGTAAAGAACAGAAAACACAAGAACGAAAAGAAAATAATCTTGTATTATTTACAAGAAGATTCAACAAAAATACGATTTACCCACGAAAACGTTACATAGAGGATCAATAAAGACAAACTTGTTACAAAAGTAACTACCTTACATTCTAACAAATAGTTTGGTAGACGCTCTCAGATCATAACTATTAGATGGTTTAATCAACTAATCTGGTAGATGGTCTTACAATCAACACTACTACATGATTTAACAACCACCAGTCTAGTAAATGTCCAACGGTCTCATGGTCTTCTTACTTTCTAATACACCCAGATAGTCTTGAGCACCATCAACGGTATAACAATATTAGAGGATTTGATCCCTGTCTAACAGTATTTAGAAGTTTGATCCATGTCTAACAATATTAGATGATTTCTCATTTAATATTTGACGATTTGAACTTGGAATATGATTCTGGATTCACCTTATAGGGTAGACTGCACTGTTTCTTTTAAACTCTGGTGACAATATCTTTTAAACTGTCCGAGTATTGGTACATTGCTTCCATAGCTTTGAATTCACTTATGTAGCCATTTTCTGGCATATTTTCCATATACTAGAAATGCTTCATAATAAATTATTGGAAAACATTATTACCCCTGCTTAGTTGGAAACAATAAGGCTGCTTCCCTACACTAACTCTTGATAATGTCACTAACCTGGTCAATAACTTTTGTCTATAATCTTTTTCTTTGCAGGATTGAAGAAGAGTTTTAGTAGCTATTAATAAAAGCGGACTTGAATTTAAGGCATTTATTTCTTTCTGAATTCTAATGGTCAAGACATGTATCTTTTAGAGATCAAGTTGACATTCAAATTATGAGCTTGGATCAAAATTTTAGTGAATATATGCCGCAGCTTGGCTTGTTTTCTTTATTTTGAGCCGTGCTTTTGTTGTACTTAATCGATTATAATGAAAAATCTAGTGCTGTCTTAATGTGAGATAAAAGATCATTTCCCTTGGAACTTTGTGTGTGGCCGTTTTTTTTTATCTATCTGTTTGTGAGGTGGCGGTTTGCTTTGTCATTCTGGAATTGAGAATTGGTTATGTTATGGCTTCTTGGGTGTTGAGTGTGGTCTCCACTCTAAATCAAACAGTTCCGTTGAGCAGTTTGCAATTGTGCTCGTACCAAGCAACATGAAAGTGTTATGCCTGTTCTGGTCCTAGTAATTATTAAAACAAAAATTGCATCTTCCTAGTAATTGCTAAATATTGGTTACTAAGTTCGACCATAAAGAGAAGGTTCTTTCTTAGGCTCACCAACGAGCCAAAACTTACATACAGTTATACTGCGTATTTTCCAATCAAAACTAGAGTATTATCTCGGTATCTACACAATATTTTAATACAAACAATTTTTTTATGAATCACTGAGGTGATTTCTTCCCGCTTTTTTACCGTTTCAGAATCAGGGTGGTTATAAAACAGGTTGAGATAGTTGGTGGATGTTGAATCAGTCTGAGGTCTTTTTTTTCAGCATGTAAAATTATATTAAACATATCATACATGAACAAAATTTTGCACACTTAGATTGAATATTAACTTAAATTTGTGATGAAGGGAAATATTAACAAACCCAAGGTGCTGGTCTTAAGTTTTAATGAACAACGTGCACTGTACATGCCAGTGTGAGTCGATTTTTAAAAGTGTGCCCATTATTTCTTTCCTGTATTTGTTCCCTGTTCCTCACTATTGTCATTTTTTCTATCTTCTCTTTCTCCCTTCTCTCCATTTCCCCCTTCATCTATCTTCTCTTTATTATAATAACGTAAAATATGTCAATATTCATATTTTAGAATTATTAAAAATGATTTCATACTAATTTTACAATAATTGAATATTCTAAATTATCTATCACTTGTCTTAATTATTTTTCATATTAAAATTTTAATATTAAATATATATTTTTCGACAGTCAATATACTGTGGGTCAACAAGCTATATGTGGTGAGCGATGATATGTTATTATTATCTTTTTGTTAAAAAAACCAAACCATGTCCTCAATTTGTATAACCCTGACATAGCATATAGGACAATTCAAACCATTTTAGTTATTTTTTTTAGTGTTTGATGTTTGAGAATTCAAACATTACTTCTTTAAGATAACAAGTTTAATATTGGATCCCACGGAAAACAATTCAAGTTAAATATATATATATATATATATATATATATATATATATATATATATATATATATATATATATATATATATATATATATATAGTCCATACATTAATGATGTATATAATTTTTAGATTGTCATGTAAGTTAAAAGTTGTCATATTATTATATTTATAATAATTTGCAATAAATACTTTAAAAAATAATTTATTATATTATGTTTTAAAAATAAATCAGCCATGGAATTTTTCATCAATAGTTCATATATATTAACCATTTATTAAAACAAGTCAGTATGAGAAGGTATGAACAGTAATGTACGGAAAATTTGATTTGCCGATAGAAAATTGGAGCTACATCATATTGTTGACTACGAAAAGAACTACCAATCAACCTTTTGATTACAATGAATAAATGTCTGGTCAGGACTTGATCATTTGTTGGTGTTGGACTACTAAAATTGAAGTTGAAGCATTGGTAATGGTATCCGAGGAAGCAAGCAAATCTCCAATCACACCCAACTCAGAAAACTCTGTCCATCTTTCAAGTGCTTCTGTCTGAGGTGATTTGATCCCATTACGTCTCCCAACTATAAAGAAATCATGTTGATTTGCAATATCTGACACAAAAGTGCTGGTCTGAGAAGGTTCCTCTATGGTAACTTTTTCATACGACACATTCTGAATGTGACCATATAACCCTTTAACACTCTTGAGCACGTCATCATCAAGCATCAGGTCCCAGTTGGCCTCACCAGGGCCCGAGACCAAGTGGTACACAACCAAGTTGCAAGCACAATCTTTGATGACCCTCTTAGCCAAGCACAATGCCTCTCTGTCATCCAAACCCCCCAAAAAGATCATTGCTATTCGCTTTATTGAGTTATCATTGTTGTTGTTGTTGTGAGTAGAAGAAGAAGAGCCTCGACTCACAAGAATCCCCACGGAGCATGGTGCCCTTTCGAGAACCCTAGAGTTGAGAGTTCTTATGTTTTTATCTGTTGATTCGATGGAACCATCCTCACCCCATCTCACGTGAAATGGAAGAATGATGATGGAAGCGAGTTTGTCCAACGCAAGGTAACAAATATCATCATGCATGAAACGGAAGGGAGATATGGCTGTGTAGGTGTTAACTAATGCAGTTCCCGCATTGTCATGTTCGAAGAGGTCGAATGCTACAATGACATCTTCGGAATAGTTGTGGTTTGAGTCGACCCTTTCTTGGACACGGTGTGAGATGAAGATGGGAGAGGATCTACCGACTAACTCTATGAGATGCAAGACGTGAGCCAGTAAGGGGTTGTTTGGTGCGGGGCAACAGATGTCAAGAGCGTTTTTTATGGAAGTTATGTGGCTTGGTTTGTGGATGCATGCCACCACCCGAAGCTCTGCGTTGGGTTTCAAGTTGAGTATGTTTCTTTTCTGATAGCCTGCGTATTTTCTGGTTGGGTCGTAGAGAGCTTTCACCCCGATGCGGCCAATGCTTGCTAACACCAATATCGATATAGCCATCATGGAGACTGTTGCATTGCTCATTAGCTGCATTGCATGGGGACTAAAATTAGATGGTAAAAATATAATATGCATGAAATTAATATGTGTAGAAAAGGTGACGTGAAAAGAAATAAAAATGTTAACGCATCTCTTTCAATTCAATTCTTACTGTTTGAATGCGAAGAAAGTATTAATCACATACCAGTGAGTCAAACAGAAAGACGTCGGTGACGTAATCAACTACTCCTTTGCAGCTCAACATGAGAGCGAGGCACAAACCATCGGTTTTGGGCATGTTGCAATGGCGACAGATTCCGACAGTGAGAAGCATCTTCATCAAATGCACAACAACAACGAAGGAGATCACCGTGAGAGCTAGCTCGCAACTAATGTGCGCGGAAAGATCAATTTTCATGGCACAACAGGTGACAAAGGTTGGCAAAAGGAACCAAGTGTTGAACAACTCAAACTGTTTGATCAATTCAGAGCCCAGTGGAGGACCTTTTCTGGCACAGCAAGACCAAGGAGGATCACCCCACCTAACACAGTCTGGTTAGCCCACACTCCAAACAACCCTGCGAAGAAGGTCATGAGGACCACCACATAGGTGTATACTTTCTTCATAGGTCTTCCTTCAGGTGTGTTCCTCACAATCCATCTCATTGCGGGGCGTCCTATCGAAGTCACAATTGTCACGAAAAGAACGTATTTGGTGACAGTGTACATGGCAAGTTGAGGTCCCTTTCCCGCAGAATGATCATGAGAATCGGTTCTAAGGCTGCTTACAACTGCAGTGCCTAACCCTGACACAACTGTGCCTATCACATCCATAACAAGAGCTGATGAGAGTGCTAAGCGTCCAAGTTCAGAGTTCAAAAATCTCCAAATCAGAGAGAAGAGAAGCTACCACTGCGAAGGAACAACCGGTCTGCGATATTACTACCACCGGGAGTCTCCCCCCGTCGAACTCTCCTTGGATTTTGTAGTTGAGAGGTAGTGGTTATAGAGGTAGTAGTTGAGAGGTAGTTGTTGTATTGAATGTATGTAGTTGAAAGATATTAGTTGTATTAAATGCATGTAGTTGTTGTATTGAAGGTATGTAGTTGAAAGGTATTAGTTGTATTAAATGCATGTAGTTGAGAGACCATATCCAAAGGGTCTATAAATTGACCATGCATCACTCATTGCAAATATATCAAGTGATAATATACTGAGTGTTTTATTTAGATACTTATTTGTCTATAAATTGGTATCAGAGCCAAGGTCACGAGTTCGATTCCTGGTGGACAATTGTTGAAGGGGGGAGATTGTTGCGGGTTGCACAATTGTCTCGTGGCGGAGGCCGAGTGGGCCGAGTCACAATCCAAGAGTGGGATACCTTGTAGAACAATTGCTGAGGGGGAGATTGTTGCAGGTAGCATCAATTGTCCCGTGGCGAAGGCCGGGTGGGCCGAGTCACAATCGAATCGTGGCGCTTGGGCTAATAAAGTAAAAAGAGTTGTGCTCTGACTAATGGCTTTTGGCCTAGTGGTAAGCGCTCGATCCTAACAATTGGTATCAGAGCAAATACCGAAGTCTGATTGGAAGTCTTAGGTATCTTACAAATACCAGATCAGATTTAATGTTAAATGTTGGAATAGCAAGTCGATATATGAAGGAGCCAATGTATACTCATTGGAAGACACTAAAGAGAATTCTAAGGTATGTGAGAGGAACAGTGTCACTTGGCCTAATGTATACTAGGACGGATGATTATCGACTAGTAGGCTACTCGGATAGTGACTGGTGTGGAGATGTTGATGACCGGAAAAACACGTCTGGATATGTATTCTTCATGGGAAACACAACATTCACCTGACTTTCAAAAAAACAGTCCATTGTAACGTTGTCAACTTGTGAAGCCGAGTACGTTGCAGCATCCTGGAGTGTCTGTCATGCAGTTTGACTTAGAAACCTTCTAAGCAAGCTGGAGTTGAAGCAAGAAAGAGAAACTGTGATTCGAGTTGATAACAAGTCGGCCATTGAATTGACAAAGAATCCGGTCAATCATGAGAGAAGCAAACATATTGATGTTCGGTTTCACTTCATCCGAGAACAAGTGAAAGAAGGAAATGTGGAGTTAGAGCACGTCGGAACCCGAACACAAGCTGCAGCTATGTTCACGAAGCCACTGTCAACCACTCTGTTCGAGAACAACAAGAAGATGCTTGGAATGAAGGACAAGAAAAATATTTAAGTTTATGGGGGGATTTTGTTAGGTAAACATTAAATGCATGTAGTTGAGAGGTAGTGGTTATAGAGGTAGTAGTTGAGAGGTAGTTGTTGTATTGAATGTATGTAGTTGAAAGGTAGTAGTTGTATTAAATGCATGTAGTTGAGAGACTATATCCAAAGTGCCTATAAATTGACCATGCATCACTCATTGCAAATATATTAAGTGATAATATACTGAGTGTTTTATTTAGATACTTATTTGTCTACATTTTTGCCAGTGCCCCATGAAACCGTAGCACAGTGACAGACCAACAAGTGATGTAATCATCAAGGAGGAAAGAGCAATTGCCCAAGCTTTCCTCCCAGTTCTCGTTTTCATGCTAAAATCCATGTTCACCCCATTAAAAAATGAGTGGTGATATTTTGACAACAAAAAATCATACAACCCTTATAAACAACTCACTTTTATTAATATAATAATTTATAGACTGATTTAATAAAAATAAAAATAAAGTAAAACTATTATTATAATATTAAAACAGAGTTGTTTACAGGAGTTGTATGGATTTGGATTGTCAAAGTATCATTTTCCTTAAAAAAATAGAAAGAATGTGTACCCCAATATTGATACTAGGTTCAACAAGTCTTCACTGCCGTAAGGGAACAACTTGTTTTTCTGGCTTATCAAGGCATCTATCTTGAGAGAAGGACCTAAAACAAACCCAGCCTGCAATATTGAGACGTATATATATGTCAATGCTTCTCATGACATGCAAATGAACGTGAATAAAATATAAAAATATATATCATATATTAAAGTCAGAGTTATATGCAATTCTTCTCGGGTTTCTGATAATGCATGTTAGCCCCACTTTTTTTATGTAATGTATTCATTCCAAAGTTTATAAACAAAGAGAGGACTAGTGGGAAAGCATATATCTGTACCATCATCTGAGAAACGAAATAGGGGAAGCCCCAACGCTTGAGCACCAAATGAAAGCATTGTCTGATGGTGAAAATGGTGAGAATTTGGAGCTCCAACAGTGGCATCGAGGCTCTTTCTGGTAATGCACCATAGTCTGTGTTACCCCAGATGCACCATATTCCTTTATGATTATGAAAAAGGAATGGATAGAGAGGAAGGCTCCAGGCTTCCTTTCTTTCTCTTGGTGTTAACATAGGAATGGGAGCAGTTTGAATGGATGCCTTTTTTCCCTTCCCTTCCCTTCCCTTGTTGAATCAGCCAAGTCAGTAGCCTTTTCTTTTAAGAGGGATTGCCTATTGATGCAAGGAATAAGGGCTGCTAAATCATCTGTAGTATAGTAGTACTATTAGGTTAGGGTTAGGTAGGCAAATGGGATTTTTCTTTCCTAGGCTCAGGAGCGTAGTAAGAGGATTCCGCTGCATAAAATCCCACATTTTCTGACTCAGACGGCACAAGTCAATGAAGCAATAGCGCTTGATTAATCGATGGCAAAATATTCTATTCTACTAGAGGTTCTCCCTTGTTCTTTGAATTCGATAGAATGATCAAACCATGACACTAGATGCTTAGATAAGATGTTATGAAGAAAGATCTATCTGACTGACAGGGGATTCTCGAGTTATGTAAGGTTCTCCTTTGTGACCTCAGTCCTAGAACATCCCATCCTCCGAAACATCAGACGATTTTTTGGCAGAAACAACCTATTTTGTTTTGTTTGGAAAAGATCCTATGTTAGCGTTAGCGTTAGGAGACATCAGATGAGTCTTAAGTGGCAGCGGGTGATGAAGCTATAGCGGGCTCCCTTCTCCTACTCCTACTTGAACCAACATATTGAGGTGAAGCAACTAGCAACTATAGACCTAATGATAAAATGGTAACTTTCATTCCCTTCTTTCCCCTTCATTTTCTTCTATCACTAGCAGCACCCTTTGTTTGAAAGCTAAAGTAGCCTTTCCATCCTTTATAGACATCATTTTGAGGGAAATTAACACTGAGATGATGAAAAAGATAGACCGGTGTGTCATTGGTCTTTCTTTCGTAGTGGGATAAACTAACCTAAATAGTCAAGTGAAGGAGACCCACATGCCCACTTCTCCTTCCCCGCCCCATTTCTGGGACGGGCCTGCTCTCGCCTTCTTTTTTTATTTTAGGTTGGGGCTCGAGCTACTTTTTCTCCCGGGAACAGATAACTTGCTGCCCAAGTCTACCTACCAGAAAGCCATGTCGATTTCTATCCCACTTTGGGGATCCCTTATCCCTGTAGACAAACAAGTATCTAAATAAAGCACTCTGTATATTATCACTTGATGTGTTTGCAATGAGTGATGCATGGTCAATTTATAGGCCCTTTGGATATGACCTCTCAACTACATTCATTTAATACAACTACTACCTTTCAACTACATACATTCAATACAACAACTAACTCTCAACTACTACCTCTATAACCACTACCTCTCAACTACATGCATTTAATGTTTACCTAACAAAATCCCCCCATAAACTTAAATGTTTTTCTTGTCCTTTATTCCAAGCATCTTCTTGTTGTTCTCGAACAGAGTGGTTGACAGTGGCTTCGTGAACATATCTGCAGCTTGTGTTCGGGTTCCGACGTGCTCTAACTCCACATTTCCTTCTTTCACTTGTTCTCGGATGAAGTGAAACCGAACATCAATATGTTTGCTTCTCTCATGATTGACCGGATTCTTTGCCAATTCAATGGCCGACTTGTTATCAACTCGAATCACAGTCCCTCTTTCTTGCTTCAACTCCAGCTTGCTTAGAAGGTTTCTAAGCCAAACTGCATGACAGACACTCCAGGATGCTGCAACGTACTCGGCTTCACAAGTTGACAATGTTACAATGGGCTGCTTTTTTGAAAGCCAGGTGAATGCTGTGTTTCCCATGAAGAATACATATCCAGACGTGCTTTTCCGGTCATCAACATCTCCACACCAGTCACTATCCGAGTAGCCTACTAGTCGATAATCATCCGTCCTAGTATACATTAGGCCAAGTGACACTGTTCCTCTCACATACCTTAGAATTCTCTTTAGTGCCTTCCAATGAGTATACCTTGGCTCCTCCATATATCGACTTGCTATTCCAACACTTAGCATTAAATCTGGTATGGTATTTGTAAGATACCTAAGACTTCCAATCAGACTTCGGTATTTGCTCGCATCAACTCGGTCTCCATCTGCATACTTAGAAAGTTTTGTACCAGGTTCCATAGGGGTGGAAACCGGGTTGCAACTTGTCATCTTAAACTTCTTCAAGATCTCCTCAGCATACCTTTCCTACGACACAAAGATGCCATCCTTTCCCTGAACAACTTCTAAGCCAAGAAAATACTTCATAAGACCCAAGTCAGTCATCTCAAACTCCTTCTTCATCACTTCTTTAAACTCTTCAATTAGCTCGGCATTATTTCCCATGAAGATAAGATCATCAACATATAGGGCAACAAACATCACATCTTCTCCTTTCTTCTTTATGTATAGAGCATGTTCATAAGGACACTGCTCATATCCATTCCTTTTGAAGTAAGTGTCAATTCTTTCATTCCATGCTCGTGGAGCTTGTTTCAAGCCATAAAGTGCCTTCTTCAATCTCAACACTTTCTTCTCTTCTCCTCTTCGCATGTATCCGAGTGGCTGTTCAACATATACTTCCTCCTCCAAGATTCCATTCAGAAATGCCGACTTCACGTCCATCTGCAAGATTGTCCATCTGTGTTGAGCTGCTAAGGAAATCAGCAACCTAATTGTTTCCATTCTCGTCACTGGGGCGAATACTTCGTCATAGTCTATTCCTTCTTTCTGCTTGTACCCCTTCACTACGAGTCGAGCTTTATATCGTTCAACTTCTCCTTCAGCATTTGTCTTCTTCTTGTACACCCACTTTACGCCGATAGGTCGTGCTCCTTTGGGCAAATCAGTTAGCTCCCATGTGTTGTTGCGTTCTATTGCTCCGATCTCCTCGTCCATTGCCTTTCTCCACCTTTTCTCCTGCACGGCCTCTTCAAAACTTAAGTCTTCTGAATCTGCCAAGAGACATACAACATGCACTTTGTCAGTGGAGTTGTATATATCTTGTAAACTTCGCGCTCTGGGCTGTAGAGGTTCATCTTCTTCATCAGAAGTCTCATGATCTCTCACAGTATGTGGTGTATCAACTTCCGAGCTTCTACTTCCTATGGACTCCTTCTCTGGGTTGTTCCAACTCCACTCGCTTTCTTCATCAATTTGAACATCTCGGCTCATGATGACCTTCTTAGTTATTGGGTTAAACAACCTGTACGCCTTGGTTTTTTCATCATACCCAATAAACACGTACTTTTTGCTTCTATCTTCGAGCTTGGTCCTCTGTTGAGCTGGAACATGACCATAAGCTATGCTACCAAACACTTTAAGGTGAGACACACTCGGTTTTCTTCCGCTCCAAACTTCTTGCGGTGTCTTCTCGTTCATTTTAGCATGTGGACATCTATTTTGCACATAGATGGCACATTGCACTGCTTCTGCCCAGAACTCCTTTGACACGTTTTTGCTTCTCAACATTGTTCGAACCATGTCAAGAATGGTTCGATTCTTCCTCTCGGCAACTCCGTTTTGTTGGGGTGAGTATGGTGCTGTCAGAAATCTCCTTGTCCCTTGCTCTTCGCAATACTTCATGAGTTCGGATGAAATGAACTCACCTCCTCGATCAGACCTAACAAATTTGATAAGCATGCCAGTCTCTTTCTCAACCATTGCTTTAAATCTCTTGAACACCTCAAACACCTCAGATTTCTCCTTCAAAAAATATACCCAGGTTTTTCTTGAAAAATCATCTATAAAAGAAATGAAATACCTTTTCCCACTGAAGGACTCAGGGGTAATCGGTCCACAATTATCTGTGTGAATCAATCCGAGTTGTTCCTTTGCACGGTACTCGGCCGTCCTCGGAAATGAGGTCCTCGGATGCTTCCGAGCACACACTCTTCACATAATTTCTTTTCAAATTTCATAGACGGGAGTCCTCGCACCTGTCGCCGCCGTCAAAAAGAGGCGGTCGGAGCGACGCGATGGTTTTATCGACCCTCTTGTTTTCGCGTTTTTTTTATTGGTGGTTACAACGTCCTTGGGTTGTCCGATAACCAGGCTAACCTAGAGACGAGGTTTTCGAAAAGTGTCCTTGAGTTGTCCGACAACTGGGCTAACCCAAGGACTTATTTATTTTGGGTTCTATGGAGTCGCCACCGATATTTTTACCATAAACATCGGAAAAGGGGTAAAAGGCGTTGGTTTTCGAAAACCAACTTTGGTCATTAGAACCAGAGTTGGGTAAGGGAGTTAGTTACGTGTAAAGGGAGTATTAGTCCCTTTACGACGCCCCTTTCGGGTTCCCTATGATAGGCCGGCTATTTGCGAATAATTAAACTTGGAAAATTGCGCTTTTACCCTTTTATTATGCGGTATTTAAATTTATGACTACATGGCCCTAACGTCTATTGCATAATTTAAATGAAAGCGGTAAAGTAAAGAAAGAGGTTTATGAACCTTCGAAGCAAGCTTTCTTATATTCTTTAAAGAAAGAGGGTGCGTTTTGGCAGCCCTTCACTCTACAACTCTCGAAACTCCGGAAATGCCTCGGAGGGATTCTTAAGAAGATTTAGAACGCTCGATCTATGCCTAGAGACGCTCGAAACTCCGGAAATGCCTCGGAGGGATTCTTGAGAGAGAAAATCTAGAGAGAAGGGAGAACTCTTGTTTTTCTGTGTGGAAATGAGGGGGAGACCCCTATTTATAGTTTTTCGCGTCGTCGGGGTCCGGACCGCCGTTCTCGTCTGACAGGGTCGAGACCGCCGTCTCGTCCAACGAGACCGCCGTCTCGTCCAACGAGACCGCCGTCTCGTCCAACGAGACCGCCGTCTCGTTTTTGTAGGCAACGAGACCGCCGTCTGGGTGAACGAGAACGCCGTCTCGTTGGAGCATCCGTCGCTCAAGCGAGTACACCAGTCACTTGAGCGAGACTTGACCCGGGAGTCCCCTTTGTTCGAAGCATCCGTCGCTCAAGCGAGTACATCAGTCGCTTGAGCGAGACTTGACCCGGAAGTCCCCTTTGTTTGAGGCATCCGTCGCTCAAGCGAGTACATCAGTCGCTTGAGCGAGACTCGACCCGGAAGTCCCCTTTGTTTGAAGCACCTGTCGCTCAAGCGAGTACGTCCGTAGCTTGAGCGAGACTTGACCCGGGAGTCCCCTTCAACGCGAGAAACTTTATTTTGGGCCAAAAAACCTTCCTATCTTGGTACGGGAGCCTAATAGTCTCTCCTAGTGGCTTGTTAGGCTTCGGCCGTCTTCAAATAGGAAGCTTTCTGACTTTATTTGGAGGCCGGGCAAGATTTGGGGTCTACAGCTGCCCCCCCTTTACCCGTCCAGTCGACTGCTGGCCTTCTGTTGTCAGGATGATCGACTGGGGGGTAAAGGAGTTGACCCTC